GAAAAAGCGGAAAGTTCCAGTTGAGACACAATAGGCATAAAGAAGAACTAATCAAGATTTTCAAAATAATCAGTCCACCATCCAGTAGGCTTTGTCCACTTGGCAAGTTTACCTTAGAGGAAGAGCATATGGGATTTCCATAGGTCATAATTAGAACACACCATAATAGGAACGTATAGCCATAACTGGCACATCCACACTACAGCAATTTTATTAACAAAATGTACAGTTAGGGGAAATTCTCCTCTACCCGATTGTGTTTTAGGTTTGCGAATTCAGGTTTTGGTTCGCGAGAAAATAGTTTTACAAGGTTTGGAGTTGAGGGCTTTTCAATTGTTGTTACAAAATGGAGTAGAGGGCTTTTCAATTGTTGGTTTTTAGATATTTGAGCAGTCAAATGTCGCACTACCGTCTCCCAGTCAAAGAATTCTAATTAATCACTTATTCTAGGCTATTTTTATCGCATATGGCGCTCTTTTAGGGTAGGAAATAATAAAAATTAACTTACAGGTTTAAAAGTTTGTGTAAATATTGCTAAAAATAAGCTTGCTGTCAAATATGAGCTCAAAGATAGCCTACCTTTCGAGATAGGACCATTCAACAGAGGAGCCGCCTATGCGAACCCTCTCATCAACAGGTGGAGTCAATTTAGGACATCGATTCTCAACGTTCCCCCACCGTGCGGTCAAGCTCGCTCAACATTGTTTCTTTTCATGTCCTTTTCGTTTTGTTGGGGAACAAGCAGATATTTATTTATTGATTTATTTATTTATTTAATTTGTTTTTCTTCATCGGACTTAACGTGTCTAAATGAAGCGTGATGAGGAAAAGCCTAGAAAAGGCGTAAAAACCCCATATCTTTTCCAAATACATGAATCACAATAATACAATACAATTACAACGAACATTAATCAAGTCTATAGCATAAAAAAAGTTATCCTCCTATGGCATAGAGTTGTCCGTGAATCAGGTAGAAGGCCTCGTCAACCGGTGAACACTCGTGTTTATTTCAGTTACCATGGAGACGTAATTTGTGATTAGCCCCGGTCCCTTTCAAATTGTATCATTATTTATGAACGGTTCTTATATTTGAAATGACGTTTCACATTCATCTAGTGATGTCCGATTTTCATTCGAATAATCGTTTAATCGATTAACGAACCGAAAAGTAAACTATTTATAATCGGTTACATCATGCCGATATAAGCATTAACATCACCACAGGATCATCACCGATCGTTTCAAACATGTGCTGCACTCTCATTGGTATAAAAATGGCAGCACAGCGAACAAAAAATAATCGATTAGTTGTTAATCGAGTAATTAAAAAATGGGACATCTCTGACTTTGGTGTGATTGTTTTGATAAAAATGAGCGAAAAATTTCATCTCTTCCGAGGGGGCAGCACAACCACAAAATTACCTTGAATACGGGGGGTTTTCATTGGATGAAAGGGACCGAGAAAGAAGACACTAAAATAGAAAGTTTTTCATCCGACAGTTTCATCTTAGTATTCATCTTTGGCCTCGTCATGCAATTAACAGGTAGCACTATCCTTCACGTGTACATTAAATGGACAGCTACTCACCTTCTCAGGAGTCTGCGTTGAATACGGTGACGAAAGGTTTCCGCTGCACAGTTAAAGTCGAAAAACTCGTAAAACTCGTTGAAACACCCAGACATGAACCGTATTGGGTCATGCAAGCTGTAGTTCGCAGCACGAGGTCCAAGATGCAGGAAACTCCTCGACCGAAGAGCTCGTTCGGGTGCGTAGATTTCGAATTCAGCCAAGATTCCTGGAGAGTCGATATCACCAATAAGTACTTTTGCTGCGAACACGGCCTGACTAATCGTCCGCCTATGTTCTAGTGTTTCAAGACCCAGGAGTTGACAACGATCTTCGTACGGCGGAAGGTTCACAAGGTCATTTCAAGGAAGGTGACGAAAGGCATACCGAACAAATTTCCTTTGAACAGATTCAATCCTCGCTATCCAATCTGCTTGATACGGGCACTATACTACCGAGCTGAATTCCAAGATCGATCGCACTAGAGAGCAGTATAGAGCTTTTAGACACATTTTCAGTTATGATTGTATTGAAATTCACCATAAGATTTGAACAGTTTAATAAATAAAAGCGATTTAATAAATTATCTAATCGGATTCAAGTGTTATATGTGATGATAGTTCATGATTTTCATCATTTCCATAGTTCAAAACACTAAAAACTAATGTGTAAAGCACTTCGCATGAATGTTAAAAACACATCAAGCCAATGTGAATGTGCATTTGAAACTCAAGAGTTGAAACACTTGATTCAATCGTGTAGAATTTTAGTGTACCGTGAGTGAGTTGTATGCTACCGACGCCAGGACCATACCCTATTCACCATCAACTCGTGGACCGAGGACCAACAGCACTGTTGCACTTCCCCCCTGCCTCATAAAATCCCGAAAGCGCCGATTGGGATTGAACCCAGGCCCTTTGGAATGAGAAGCAATCACGCTTACCACTACGCCACCATTTGATATTGCATGCACATTTGAAAATTGTCCAATGGTTAATTTGAGTTAGTGTTAGTGTCTTGGTATCTGAACTCGACGTCCATGTTAGGGATTCGCTATCACCTCGTCTGTAATATGAATAGTAATAGCAAGCAAGCACGTGATTGGTGGGTTTTGGCCATAAAGTTTGATACATTTTTAATAGTTGATTAAAATGGCGCATTCATAATAAAAATTCATGGTATTACCAAACCAAAGGCGGTGGGTTCGATTCCCCGTCCAGTCGAGGAAAGGTTTTGGGTTGGACAATTTGTCGACTTCCCTGAACATAGAGTGTCATTGTGCTTGCCTTGCCACACAATATACAAATTCATGCATTGTTTGGCATAGAAAGCGCTCAATTAATAATTGCGGAAGTGGACCTAGAACAATAAGTTGAAATGCGTAAAATATCTAGAAGGAGAAGAAGAAGATATTCAGAACACAGAGACGTAGTCCAATCCAATTGACAGCTCGCACAGCTCTCCCCAAGTAATCAACAAGCCCGCAAATGGCAATATAAGGCTGATATATGACTAATATAAGTTCACAAGTTTAATATCAAGCTTATATTACAAGAATGGCGATTAGCGGGTAGTAACAGGCTAGATGGTTACTTGGGTATCTCCACTCTGTCAGAATGTTGTAGTCAATCTGTACGAGAAATTCACAATGATCTGGTTTTTACACACAATATTAAATAAGTTTATAAATAAACTGACCTGGAATGAATCCAGAATACAAGTGCACTTTTTTTTAACGATTCGGTGATTTGTTGAGACTCAATTGCGGTAGCTTTATGGAGCCGTGTCCGAACAAGGCACTATCCTCAATACTAAAATGATACCAAATCTGTTCATAAGGTATAAGATACAAGTTGTTCATGAGATAGGACTCCGTATAAGGCATAAGAATCGAATTTAACTGTCAGAACCCTAAGGATGCAAACCCGAGCAAAGTCGGTTAATGAAAGCAAATCGATATTAAAGTTTGCAGTGCCTATCATAATGAAAACTAATTTTGATTTCAATTGTCACGACAGAAGTCTGATTTCATATTGTGCTTTCATTATGCAGTCAAGACATTTTAATTAAAAGCAATACATTGAAGTTCTGCTGTTAATTTCTTGTTTAAAATTTGATATAAGTTCATCTTTCGTTTATTTGTTTTGTTTAACACATTTTAAGTCATTCGTGACTAAACCGAGGTGAGATTTGAGATCAAGTCTTTCAGCGTTACGCCAGGCCCGTATTCAGTTAAACATTATGAATGCAAAATCAGCAATTAAATTGATTTCATTGAAAGCAGCATTAGACAAATTCATGTGCTTTAAGACTGGCATAAACGAGCATCAATTTTGACATAAAATTGAGTCATAACAGACGCGAAATTCACCTAAATCAAATGAGTAACAAACTTTTCAGTCTCGGAGCACTTATTTTTACATGACATGTTTGTTTACGTCTCATCCTTAAATCCAAGATAGATTCCGTCATGTGTAAGATTAGTTATTTCTAAGTGTGTAGTATTTACGATACATGCATAATAAATCGGATATAAGTTTTTGTTTTATTAAATACGATTAAATTTCATACCATGAATTTATTCTCATATTCATTTCATTTTCATATGACTTCTTTCATTGTCTACTAACAGACTTATCCGGCTCTTCCACCAAAATGTTAGCTATCACGTATTATTTTTTTATTTATTGGAGGAACGAGGAAGCCGTTAAAAGTAAATCAAAACCAACAACAGTCAAAAGCATATGGTCTACCAATGTCACAATGGGATTTTGACCTGATCATTGAATAGAAAGCCGGGGTTTGTTTACACATTGCACAAATCAAATCATATGACTTTCGCGTGCGTGCAAATCAACGCCGATCTAGTAAGTAATTTAGTACGAAAATAAACATGAACTGCAGCAAGCACATGAGCAAATATGATGCAATTCATGGCACTCGGCAAATTTCTCTTTCTTCTTCTCATGAAACGTTTTGGCAGACGACAAGTGCCGATTGGCTCAGCTGACAAGTTCGTTTTCGTAAGGTGCACTTTCGTTTAGCTTCTATCGAATAAATTACAGACTAAAGGCAAATATTACCCTGTAAACCCACTCAAGTACGCTGGAGAGCTCCTATATATTTCAAATTTCTTCAACGAATCTATAAAACCCACTGATGAGGAATCAGGAAACTGTATAACCACGTTGGCACTATGTTGGGAAAAGTTGATCCATTGAGTGTTACCCACTTTTCGCAGTGCCCTCTGCTCTGGGGTATCGTTTTACGAGCCATGTAGTCGAAAATTTTGTCTCGCTGCCAGACACGACTACTGGCAAATTCAATTCTAGTTTCCTGAATATATAGTGGCACTATCGATTTAATATTAAGAGTCTTGCTCCTGCTCGTGGCGTTCCATCTTCAATAATGGTTCTCTTCTGTTTATACACAGGAATTAATTACGACTGTGAAGGAGTTTGCTTTAATTACATTGGATAATCGATCAGAGTGAGAGGCAAAACACCAACGGACCAGCCCGATTCATCATCCTTCCACGCAGCTATAGACTACATAGCCAAACCGCACACTCACAAAAATGGTGATAGGAGAAGCCACCAACAACGGGGAGGCTGTGCCTCCACCGCAGCAATTCGCCCCACAGAAGGCAACTATTGAGAACATAATGAGTGGAATTGAAAATACCGGTACCGTGAAAATGAATAATCACAGGAAAAAACTGAGACAACGGTAAGTGTCATTTCTCACCGGCGAAGTTTTCATTTTTCCTTTGCTATGTAAATACCTATATACCATCCATCTGGTGCTATATTCTTCCCGCGGGCAAAATCATTACAAATTTATAATACTTACCTACCGTTCTCTGTTCCATTCCTCGTTTTCACTGTTAATGTTTCTCTGCAGATTTGATATAATCAAAAAGCTCGGCCAGGGCACGTACGGCAAGGTGCAATTAGGTATTAATAAGGAAACCGGTCAGGAGGTCGCCATCAAAACCATCAAAAAGAGCAAAATCGAAACCGAAGCGGACCTCATTCGGATACGAAGGGAGGTGCAAATTATGAGCTCCGTGCAGCATCCCAACATCATACACATCTACGAAGGTGAGTCGCGATTTGCGTGGGTAAGAAGGTGTCTTCTGTGGTTTTATGGCTGATGAAGTATAACGAAGCCCCATTTTGTATAAAATTCTGTTTTAACTGTTCTTAAATTCCAAAATAAGGTTTCATCAAAGTAATAATTTTAGTATTATCACAGACAAACAGACATAACACAATGCATATTTCTCATTGTAAAACATCGTCGCTAAAACATTACCGCCATCTGATGAGTTCACTATGGTGGGTAGTACGCAGAACAGATGGCGGTAGTGTGTTAACGTCAAACGTAAGGGAATTGACTATGCGCGCCACAGGTGGCTGTACTACCAACTACGATACTTTTAAATTGACCGTTAAAAGCTTGTTCGATGAACAACTCGCGAGTGTTATGTCTGTTCGTCTGTGGTATTATTATGCCATGGCCTTGTAGACCATGATTTAGACTTGAAGACTGCTTCAAAACCTCTTTAAAACTTGCAGTTTTACTTGGGAAAGATGTCATACTTGGAAAAGGGATTTCTGATTGAAATGACATCTCAAAGTTGTAGAAATTACATGAATTTCCTTTCATAATCCTCTAGGAAATATTATCAGGATATTCCTGCTCTTTGAATTCATCCGTGGTTTCCCAAAGTTTTGTTCCAAAATTATGTTGGAAATCAGATCAGAATTCCATGGGATTGTATCTCAGAATTCTCTTGAAATTCACCCTTGAAAGAATCTTTTAGAATTTTCTTTTAAACTATTCTGAGAACTCGATTCCTTTAGAATTTTTCACGAAATTCCATTGAAACATTATTCTGAATCTTCCTGGAATACTTCGCAGAATTATTTGAAAATTTTCTTAAAAATATCTTTGAATTGGACTAGATTTCCCTGGAATTTTTCCCGTGATAGTCTTTTCAGATCTACCTTGGAATTTACCTTTATTTCTCATTACAATTTTCTTGAAATACTTCTCAAAATTGCATGGAGCTTTCACTCAGAATTTCTTTAGAATTATGTCTAGAATGCCTTACAGTTTTGTCCAAACGATGATTTTTTTTTTAAATCTGAGATCATGACAATTACGCCAAATTTTTTCTTTACATTTTTGGGGGTCTGAAGTCTCGAAAAGTTCAAGAATATGGTGTTTTGTTTTTAAATAAATTTCCAAGTTCAATTTATCATTTGATCGGGCTGCGAAAAAAATTCATGTAGTCAAGAGAAATTTCTAAGTTCCGAAACCCTTTTAAACTTTGAAATTAGTATGCTAATTTATTTAAATTATGGAACAAAATAAATATATTTATATGAAACCGGAATGGGCAACCAGGAAAAACCGAGAAAAAAGCAGGAATTTAATTTCTTAAATTCAGTGACCACCCTGCAGTTGCTTTTTCTCAAATTTATCTTCTTTGCTACGTTAGAATAGTAAATTGAAGTGGCAGTTCCGTGAATAATTAACCGATTTTTATGTAAAGGGAAATTATTCTAGTTATAGTTTATTTGTCCGAAATTTGTAATAACTACAGCGAACACCGTCGATGTTCGGGATGATTTGAGTTTATGTCAAAAGTGCAATTTTTCTGCCGCTCATAATTTTGGGTTGTAGGTCGAAAATCTGGAATATAATATTTTTCTCAAAAACTATAACACGTCTACGGCAGGTCGAAAATTATAATCCGGTTCGTAAACAATTGAGATGTATGCGTTTCTGCGGAATTTGTTCTAGAAACCTACTCAGCGTAGGTTTTTCCCTCAACGCCTTCAATGTGGATATCAAACTTCAAGATTTCGCAAGGTGATTCACTAATACATTTTGAGAGCCTTGCCGGATTAGCCTGGAGAAGTGGCAAGAACTTATATTGTGCTAAAACCGGTAATGCGACACAACAATTAACCATTGCATTTAGCGGATCACATTTAGCCTCAATTGAGCGTGCCTCGGACATGTTCTGGATTCCCCTGATGTTATGAGGCTCAATGGTGTCCTAAAGATTTAATATTATCACCAATTTATTATTCATTGAATGCTGATGCAGTCGCATGCCCGGTTTTAGTACTATTCAAGTAATGGCTGCCTCCCCGGAGCATTTTCCATTGAATTTGAATTATCTTTGAGGAATGCTAGTATAGTCTCCCTTGAAAACTTTTCCCATAACTATCTTGGTGTTCTCCTTTGAATTCCCTTGCGATTTTCCTATGAATAATCTGAAAATCTGCTTAGTTTGAAAGCATTAAAATAATTATTTTACATGCTATGATAAATTACTAATTTACTACTAATTTACTCAAATTCGAACTCAGTCTATGAGTAACCACAGAACCCAAATTTGAGTCAGATTCTATGGCCGTGTAACGCCAATATAATAACTGGTCGCAGTGGTTTAAGGTAACTTTCTTCCAAAAGTGGCCTTCAGGATGACTTATATGCCCTAACACTGTACGTTTACTTGAGCACAAATCTCGAACACTGTTGCGACATCGCTCATGAAGTGGATCACATCATTCATTTAAAATTACGTTTCCTATAACTCAAACTCAACATTTTGAGAATGTTTCTTCTAGAACCTCGAGAAAATATTTTTTTTTAGTTCTTTAGTTTTTTAAAGGAGATTTTTAGCCTCCTTTTCATCTCCGATCGAGAAAATAGGGTCTCACTTAAGCTCTCGCTTCATTTTCTTAAAATCTTAGGTATTACTCCAAAAATGCTCGACTATTTGAATAATTGAAAATCCCTGTATGCTGCACTGCACTTTCTACGTTTTGTGTAAGCTGATATTTGTGCGCTTGAAATTTTGAAGTGACACCTAATAATATTATTCAGCAATAAGGTTTAACGGTAATTCACCAAGTCTCCTACAAAGTAAGAAGTTAGCCAATTTTTTTGAAAATTGAACGATCAGCTTGGATTGTTTAACTATCTTAGTTTTAGTGCCAAGTCGACACAGGGTTTGTACTTCATAGTCATGTTAATTTTGCATTTTTCCTGACAGTTTGATATAAAGCTCACTCACAGCAAGTTTTATGTTTGGTTTCCAGTTTTCGAGAACCGTGAGAAAATGGTTCTAGTTATGGAATTTGCAGCGGGCGGCGAGCTGTACGACTATCTTTCGGAACGCAAGGTGTTATCTGAAGATGAAGCTCGCCGAATCTTCCGCCAGGTGTCCACCGCCATCTACTACTGTCACAAGCACAAAATCTGTCATCGTGATCTTAAGTTAGAAAATATACTCCTGGACGAGAACGGCCACGCCAAAATCGCTGACTTCGGCCTATCCAATGTATTTGACGAGCAAAGACTGCTGGCAACGTTTTGCGGGTCTCCGCTTTACGCATCACCAGAAATTGTTAAAGGTACACCCTACCTGGGACCAGAAGTGGATTGCTGGTCCTTGGGTGTTTTGTTGTATACTCTAGTCTACGGTGCAATGCCATTTGATGGTGCCAATTTTAAAAGGCTTGTGAAGCAAATTAGCCAAGGTGATTACTTCGAACCGAAGAAGCCATCCCGGGCGTCCCCACTGATCCGAGAAATGTTAACGGTATGTCCGCAACGGAGGGCGAATATTGAACAAATTTGTAACCACTGGTGGGTCAATGAGGGTTATGAAGGATCATGCTTAGATCTTGCCGAAGAGCTGGCGAACCAGACTCCAGTGAGATTGGATGTGCTACTTTCATTAGCCCCACCATCCGTGACCTCTGATCAAGTGGTAGTCGGAAGTGGTCAGGATGAAGCGAAACCTAAGGAAAGAATACAACGAAGCCATTCGGTTGGTTCAATCATCGATATGGGTGCTACCGAGGCAGAGCGACGAATACTGGACATGGTGGCCGCCGGTGGTGAGGCAGCCCTAATGCCGTCGCCAACCCGTACTATTACACCGTCCGAGAGTAGTCCTGCTCAGCCTAAACGTAAACTTGAGCCGACCGTATCTACGGAGAATGCCACTGGAGCCGTCAAGAAAAAAGAAAAAGCAGCTGATAGACTTAAGCTGGACCAATGTCAACCTGTGATTCCTGAAGTAATGGACATTGAGCATTCACCTTCTCCTCGGCCCTGCTCAACCCCTGCAATTGATATTGAAAAACCTGACTTGGAGCCTGTTGAACCGGAGGCTACGGAGGACACACCAAATGCAGCTCAGAATGTTCTAGAAGATTTACAAAATCTAGAAAACATGTGCGACGAACTGCTTCAACAAACTGCAACTCCACCTGTTTCTAAAGCTCCTACACCCGAAAAATCAACATCGGCAACTAACGAAGCTCAACCCGCTACACCACCTACACCAAAGGTCGAATCGCCTCCTCTGACTGTATCAGGCGTTAAAGCTAGACTAGAAAAACTTGAAAAGGCTGACAAACAACCCGAAAAGGTTCCATATAAGAAAGTATTTAGTAAAAACAAAACTGTTGATCTTAGCTCAGCAATTAATCACGTGTCGAAGCAAGATCAAGAATTTGCACAAGTCAAATCGGCTTCCAACTTAGAACGCAAGAACAGTCTTCCAGAAGAAAATCTCACCAAACCCGCCGAGCGGCGAAAATCCCGTATTTTAGAAACCGCAGAAAAGTTCCAGAGCATGAACAATCAAAACAACGACAAGTTCAAAAAATTCTCCCTCCCCGGAGTTCCTACGGTCGGAAACTACAAAAAGGAATTCGAACGAAAAACTTCCATGAACAATTCTGCATCCTCAAGTGCAGCATTCAGACCTTCTCCTTATGAAATGACAAAGAAGATGGAGTCCGAATTGCCTTCACCTGACCAGAGCTGTCAGAGTAGCGGAGCTGATCTATACTCTCCCTTGTCACCAAGCGACGACAAGATCATTGGACGCGATGGGAGATTGGAATTCGATGAAGTCAAAGAGAGTGATTCGAAGAGTTCTATCAGTAGCTTTTCACTTGAGGAAGCTCGGCGATCGATGGAGAACTCGATAGCCCTCCTCAGCAAAGTACGTCCCGAGGCCAATGCCGTCGATCAACTTTGTGCCAAGACGGAAAATGTTTCCATGTCAGAGGATAATGAGAGGGAAAGGAAGCTGAAGAATGCCCGTGAAATAATTAGTAATGCAATTCCGATCGGTCGCCTCCGGAAGCCACCCATGCCGTTCGGAGCAAATGGACGATCTGCTACCGCAGGACTCACCAGCTCTGCTTCCAACAAGCAGTTTCGTTTCGGACCGGACACTACGGAATCCAAGTTCGAGACCATGTCAGTGCCTAGAAGTGAGTATCTCAAGTTTGTTTTAGTTTATGTGGCGTATTACACTGATACAAATGCGCTCAGCGAAAATAGCAAGGTGTAATACACTGCAAAGACGAAAATGGCATCAATCGATTTCAATTAAAATTAAAACAAATAGGCTTTAGAATCACGTTCCTGTAATGAAAGATTGTCGAAAGAGGTATAAAAAATCATCCTTAAGTTTCTACATGCTCGGCAAGCGGCTCAAAACTTTATTGATTGAAGCCCATCTTAGTCGATTTTTGCCGAGCGTGTCCAACTTTCGGGGTTCTGTATATTAATCAAAACTTTTCCAACCTAAACAAAAATACAACAACGTGATTTTATAGAACTATAACAGATATGAAGACGAAGACTAAGACGATTTGCTTAAATGTATTTTGGATTTACAGAAGTGTCAGTTGGCAATATATCCATACCACCGGTGGATGAGACTAAAACATCACATGCTGAAATTACGCTCAAATCTGCAACGCTGCCGAGAAGGAAAATCGGTAAGGTCGATGTGCATGGAGAAACGCAAACGAAGGTAAGTAATTGTATTAATTACCACGTGGCGGTGCTCATTAATCATGAACATTATCTCAATAGGCCGAATCGCCCGTATCGGCACCTCAGTCATCTTCAATGCGATTTTCCACCGAGATGCAGCATCAAGTGCCGGACCTTCGCAGTGCACCGATTCGGGAGCATCCCATATCATTCACCGTCCAGCAACGTGCCAATAGCCTTGAGCCACAGGTCAAGGAACAGACAATCCCCATTCAGAAGCCACCCACCTACCAGCGGACGTCATCGAGTGCATTTGGTACGACCCGAGGCTCGCTGTCTCGCCAATCTACCAACGAATCGAACGATTCGGATACAACGACATCGCAGAGTCAAATGCCATCATTGTCGGGCAGTGTGGCGGTCAACAGCAGTGGGACCACCATGCCTATTAAGAAAAGCCCACGAGAGTTTATTATTCCTATTGCAGTGGAAGGTGTAGGATTTGTTACACCACGAGCCAACAGCCTCGAGCCGTCGGAATCGAGTACAACGAATACTTCCGCTGGATTCGGTTCAAAGGCACGCCTCGGACGTCCACGTAAGATAAGGTAAGCAACTTTTAGGCAACCCTTTGAGTAGTAATAATAGTACACAATTTAGGACCGAGTTTAACAGTCGTTAAATAGGCCTCCCTTAGCTCAGTCGGTAAAGGTGCAGCTACAAAGCAAGGCCATGCTGGAGGTGGCTGGGTTCGATTCCCGGTCCAGTCTCGGAATTTTTCGGGTTGGTAAATTTATCGACTTCCCTGGACATCGAGTATGATTTTACTTGCCACACAATTATACTAATGCATAAATGTTAAAAACATCGAAAACTCTCAATTAATAACTGTGGAAGTGCATTTAGTATAATAGAAGGGTTTAGAATATAGAAGGGACCATTGTGTTATTAGCCATAGGATAGCAATTTATAAAACTACCGTATAAATCATCTTGTATTCTTTATGTTTTATTGCGTCCCCACTGGGACATTATACAGGACTTCAACTTAGGGTTCTAGATGCACTTCCACAAGTATGAATTGGGAGCTTTCGATGCCTGTACCATTTTTGCATTAGTATATTTGTGAGGCAAATACAATCATGCCTAGCAAAGTTGAGATATTTTTCAACCCGAAAAATTCCTAAGCCCGGAATCGAACCGGGCCGCCTCCAGCATGGTGTTGCTTTATAGCTGCGCCTTTACTAACTGAGCAAAGGGACAAATCATATCAATCATGATAATGTTATCGAAGACAACCAGACGTCGTATAAAAATGTACAGACAGTATCGTTAAATTGCTACAGTTTAATTCAACATTGAATATGAGAATACATACTATACACCGCATTATGTTTAAGTTAAATCGTATAGAATGCAAATTTCCGACTTATATGCGATGAATCATGAAATTAAAATGTTCACGTATATGGCCTCCACTTTCGCACACATAATCCATTATTTGCATTCTATACGATTTATTTGTTTGTATATCTGTTTCGTATATCATAAAAACAACTTTGAATATACGTGCATTCTGGTTGTCTGTGATATAACTCGGTACAAACATATGAAACATCGAGTTGAAGAGAAGACATCATATCAAGAAGACTGCAACTCTGCAGAATCCCAGGGCAAATACACTAGCACTGCGCTTGAGCAACGGTGAAATTATTGGTTTGAAAAATGAGCAAATACTCAAACCACTCTTTTAAGGTTGACATATTTGACCGCAGTTTTAACCTTTGAGCCATAGATGGCGGATGTTAGTATTCATTTAAGAAGGCTCAAGTTTGCTAGTCTTCTTGATATGTTGTCTTCGGTTGAAGAGATGGTACTGTATTACCATGCTATTCAATCCAACGCTACTCTGTAACCTGAAATAAAGCCAATGTTTTTCGTAAGCGTATCGTTATACATACTAATATAACTAATATAAATCTACAATTAATTGTATCGTATCAATTTATCCAGCTCCCTTCTGAGCGAGAAAGATACCGAGGAAGAATCGTCGTTCCCGAGACTCAACCGACACACTTCGCTGGGACGTGAAAGCGACTCTGAAGAGCCACGATTCCACACTATGCACAGACTAAGGTACGAACAATAATGCCGACGGCTAGAAATTGATGAAATTCGAGCAACAAATTCGATAATGACCCATTAATTAATTTTGACCATTTACAGGAGTTCGCGTCCATCGCAACGGGGCACGGTAGAACCAACTGATTCGGCCAGTTCGGGAGAAGAAGATGATGACGATGGCTTTGAAATCTTGACCGCAGAGAACCTATTCTCTACGCTGCTTTCGAGGGTAAGAATACAATTGTTAACTATGTATGTGTTGTGTTAACAGAAAAAAATATTGTTTTGTTCTTCGCCTCCGTTTAGGTCCGTGCATTAACTAACCGACTCAACGTCAACGAGCCAAACTCGTCCGGTTTCCCTTCGTCTCGCTTTATGAGTAATTTGAGACAAACACAGCCCCAATTCTGGCAGCATCATGATCCATTTTCTAGGTAAGTGAATTTTGAAATGATTGTTTTCGGTAGCATCCGTCTACCAGACATGTTTGAAATGCTTGTAAACAGAAAACCTTCAGACTACATTCATCGACAGTTAAATTCCAGCTCCCTCGAGCAACAAACCGGGTTTGTTGGTTGACGGAAAAAAAATATAAAATAGCATTATATAAAAATATCAGCTGGATAAATGGACAACAGTGATCCAAATTTTGGTAATATTTCAATTTAAAATTTAGTTATTATCAAGCGATGCTAATTGGAATCATGAAATCTTAACGTAATCTGTATCTTCTCAATTCAATGAAACGGCAGTCGTGTAATAACAGTTCAAATTTAATACCATAATATATTCTGTGCATGTAAATAACAGTTGTTACATCATCTACCGCTTCGCCTCCCATTCCAATCAAGCTTACCATCAGACATGATCAGGTACACCAAAAGCTTTAAAAACTAATCTATGTATCCACGTTATGTGTTGCCACATTCTAGCCCGCATTACACATATTCATATAGGAACGAAACCATTGAAACGAAGGAGGTGTAAGTATTTGTTTACGAGATTCCCATTTGGCACTAAATTTCACACCCTGCTCCATCACTGCTCACTACTCTGTCTTCAGCAACGTTTCTAATCGTACTATAGACAAACGGACGTAACAATTCATTCTTGGTTATCCTAACGTTCAAATTTGTTATTGCTAATTTCGCTGTTTTCTGCAGCGCTGTCGATATGATTGGTTTTGAGTATTTTTTAACAATCAACCTGCATGCCTTATTTTCCATTCCGTTTTTGTGGTTGTGCCGTTGCAACGGTTTGGTGTTGCCTAAGGTGAGTATAGCATGTTACATGTGACACCTAACATGTCACATGGAACGATTCTATACCATTTCCCGGAAAATCATTTCGCGGATACCCCATTTTACGGAATGACCAATTTCGTGGCAAAACATTTCCCGGAGCGGTCTATGCTTCGCGCACAAATATTGTAGTCCATAGAGGAGAAGGGGGAGGGGGTCGAGTTTGCATTACTTATTGTCATATAGGGGAGAGTGGGAGGATAATATGAAATGTTATGTAACAGCATGCCAATTTTTGACCCTAGTGGTCCTCTAATTGGTCCTAAATTTTACATTTTTTTGTTTTAATTTTAATCGAAATTTATTTCGAAACAAGGTTAGAACATTGATGTTGTCATATCTACGTAAATAAAATCACGAAAAACTATTTTAAATTTGATTTAGACCCAAAGGTCAAAAACTGGAGCACTAGTGCCAAAACTGTCACACTTACCCTACATATTAAGCTTTTCAAACTGAGCTTTTTTTTAAATAATCTTGAAAAAAAAAGGGAGGGACGAGTAGGTTAGCGTTACGTAATTTTAGGAAGGGGGTCTTGTCAAGTGTTACTTATTGTTACATAGGTAGAGGGTCCAAAATTCTAATTTTTTGCGATAGGTGATTTGTATACCGCGCTCAATAACCTAAATTTTAGTTGAAACAAATTTGTTTTTGGTTTAAACGGATGCAACGCAGTCCATTTCATGTACATTCAAAGGATGTTACTACCTGTTTTCTTTTTTATCCGGCCAACTCTGTCATGAGGACTTTGACTTGACAGATCCACTGACAACTTCATACCACTGGCTAGTAGCAGGTCACATTTTAGTGGCTAGGTCACTATTTTCAAGTCAGTCATTAAAAAGTTACTTTTTACACCAAAAAAGTCACTAATGTAACTATTTCTTAAATTTTAGACATTTTTTTTGGAGAGTTATAACATGTTATAACGGTTGTCAAATAATTGCAACACAGAAACCACCATCAAGATAGCGCTATAACATGTTATAACTCTGTAGTCTGAACGTTTTATAATCTGCCGGCAATTGCAAGTAAATGTTGAGAGTAAAGAATTGGTCTGTATAAAATCACACCATAATGCTTGCTTTTGTAAAAAAAATTGTTTTAGAAATCAGCGATTTCACCGTATGCGCACATACGGTAACGGTAACTGTCCAATTGGTTTTGGCAGAATAACTAATATATAAATATTTTTTTCAACTCCTTGATCTAGACGTCTAGACATCTAGACACCACTCAACCGGTAAAACCGGCAGAACCTGGAATTGAATCCAACCCAGAAATAACCGGAAATTTGATTGCAATCTCAAAATATGTTTGTATTCTGCTTAACTTGTTAACTATATATTATCTTTTTTCTTCTATTTACTATTATCTACCTATGCTTTTCAGAGGAGAAACACTTAACGACTTAATTTCCCTTAGTCTGGGATAGATAATCATAAAAAACGTCCTTAGACTCAGATAGTTCGGGGTCTAATTTGTTTTAAGCCTGAGGGGATTTCACCGATCAGACTTATAATGAGGTTCAACTTGTGCCGTGTGACTCAGACTTTCCCGTTTGAAGAGTTTTCGTAAACTTGATTTTTGTTTCTTCTACTACCTCGAGAAAATAAGGTTTTATTTATGCTCCCCTTAAATTCTGCAATAACTCTTGTTAAAAACATTTTAAAAAATCCTCATATCTTAACTTTGGAATAATCATAAGTTTCCGGTATTCCCATCAATTACGTTACGTTTCTTAGTGGATAGGTACTAGATAAAACATCTATTAATTGTAATCAGGTCTTGGTAAAGGAAAAATACCCGTATTAGCGAGGGAATTTTCCCCTGCTCTGCATATGCATTTATAATCATGCGATATAAAAAACCACCTAAACCAATATGAAATTGCAAGAAATGGTCAACCATGCGTCTCCATGATGTGTTGTTTTCCTCCCAAGACGAATGCTGAAATAATCTAGCAACCGATTAAAAAAAATGCAGGATATTTTATTTTCCTCTGTTTTTCAATTATGGTTTGTGTAAGCATTATAATGACATGAAGAACCCAATTGCTTTTTCCAAGAATTTCCTAATTCTTAAAGCCCGAAAACATCTGATGCATTAGATAGCAGCAAGATAATTTATAATCATTCTGCTTGTATTTACACCGACGGGAAATAATAACAACAATCTTTCGAAAGTGCTTGAAAGGTCGTCCCTCGATTAAAAATAAATTGATTCGATTTTTGCTCCGGTCCTGATACGTTGTTAGTAGATTGATGAAAAGACTATAGCAACAGGATGCTGAACTGCTGTCAGGATGCTGACCGGTGTGGGCTGCTGAATGGAAGATTGCCTGCAACTAATCTCATTAGGGAAGTAATTAAAAATTAATGGCGAATCTCACAAATAGTCCTCTTTCCATGGGTATTTTCGCGGTGAGCCTCACTTCGTCGGCGGTTCAGGCAGATTTTTCATTGCGTATCACTTTGAGGTTTAAGTCTACTGGAAATATGCTTCTGACTGCAAAGAGCACTTTTCTTAAGTCTTCACTGTATGTTCATGCCTGAATATTCTTCTTCTTACTCTCGATATTTTAAAGGCACCGTACGAGCAAAAATATTGTGAATGTTTACCATTCAGAAGTACTGTCCATAATACTGATATAAATATTGATTGGTATTACAGGGTCGAGGAAATCATTCGGGTTGGGAATTTTCTTGGCTTCCCTGCGCATAGAGTATAATGGTGCTTGCTGCAGAATATACAAATTCAAAAGTTGAGAGCTGGTGAAAGCTCGTGTAAGAGCGTCAGTCGCCCCGTAACGTGGGTAAATCACCTTTTCGTGGTACGTTACGGGATGTAAGATTTACCACCAATTCCTAGTTATGACTACTTCAAACTAGGGGAACAGAATTTTTCAGTAATCAAAGGAACACATCTTAGTCCTTGTTACTTTTCATGCCTTGTTGATAGTGACAAGACTCGGCCTGTCTTGTCGGCACCGAGGATGATCTTGAAAGAAGGAAAAAAAATGAGTTAGTTAGTGTCCATCTATGTGATTCCTAATCTTTTATTTGTTGTTCCCTAGTTTGTAGAAATTAAGACTAGGGTTCTGATGCATGGTCATTATCGGTGTCATTCCTTAATTTTGTTGCTAAGTTATCCAATTTTGACTGACAAAGGGGCGCGCCTTTTGAGGGTGTTTCAACACTCCGAAGGGTATAAATAGCGGAACCTTTCAATTAGAATCGATTCCTTGCGATGAATGCAAGCAGGGTGCCTTCCATTCATTTTGACTAAAAAAATGTTTTAAGAAATTATGGGATAATAAGATATTATGAAAATATTTTGATTATGTAAACAACAAGAAAAGATTGTTAAGTTTGTGTTTGATATATAATGCCTGCCAATTTTGCTACATGAGAGTCTCAATAAGCGATTTTGTAATTTATTTCATCCACTCTTCGCTCTTCACTCTTCGCGAAGAGGCGATCAGAAAAACGCTCATTGTGACTTTGTCAGAGCTAAATTTGCAAGTTTGATGTGTGAAACACAAACTTTACAATCTTTTCTTATAACTAACACATTCAAAATATCATCATAATATCTTATTATTCCATAATTTCATAAAACATTTATTTAGTCACCCTGAATGCAAGAATGGCACCCTGAATGCAAGAATGACAACTGTATCAAAACCGAATACTTCATCATTTTTCAATAGTGATAGAGTTATACGACATGCACTAAACTAAGGACACGGGATATACTACAATAGATCAAATTATTGGTCGCAGTGGTTTTATGTCCCGAATAGAGGAAAAAAAAAGAGCTTAAGTCAAGAAAAAGAAGAAGAAACGTTATTAAGATTATAGATACTATAGATTCCATAGATAAGCGGAGGCACAAAAAGTTGTTTTGGTAACTATGAAATAAAAGTCATCTTACTGGCATCCGTAAAAAAAATGTTCATGCCATCATAAAGCTCTTCGTTGTGTAGTTTTATTTTGTTTGGTGCGCAAAAGTTCAAAACGAAGTGCAGAGCAAATCTTTGCAACAATGAATCGAGGAGTGGTTTGCGTTATGTTACCTTCTTCCGTTTTCCGCGAAATAAATCAGAATGTGGAGTGTGGAAAGCGTTTTGAGCTCATAATATTCCAATGCTTCTCCCGCAAAAAACACCATGATGACGTCATCCTCGTTTGGCTACACTAACTGACAGTTTGTTTGGCTACATTCTACTTCTCCTCCGCTTATCTATGGAATTTATAGTATCTATAGTTTCGATATGCACTCCACCTTAGATGGTACACCATACCTTCCGTACGAAAACACCAAGAACGTGTTGGTGATCTATGAGTATAATTCAAGTCTCGTGAACATATAGAGGACTACCTGTCCAATTAATCATATTATCGAGCGGTTTTGGTACGACCTTCTACCGGCGATTTAAAAAAGATTAAGCAATAAATTCTATTTTTTAAAGCTTAGCATAAGTAGGACCCTATTTTCTCGAGATTCTAGACAAAATATAATCAAAATATTGTTTCAAGAAAAAGTTAGTAATATTTTCGAAAATTTCGGAAAAATCCAAAAAAATTGTGTGGAAAAAAATCTGGTCTATGTTATTAACATAGGAGATTTCCAGACTTTTCACGACATGAAAGCCTATTATCATCACCAAGCCGTAACTCACTTCGAGATTAGAAAACACTCGAGAGTGTCCCCGAAACTCGGACAATGACATAACTCAATCATAACATCCTTGAGCAATCGCGTCAGTTTATTCGGAGCATTTTTGTATGTTCTTCTTTGGATGTATTACCTCTCCGTTGACTTTACGCCGGTTCTCATCTAAGTCTAGATAGAGCTGGAATTAGGGCGTAACAGCTTTTGTAAACAATGACTTCTCTCAATGATTTCTCAGAAGTCATGGCTCTCCCTGGCAAATCGACAAAGCAATTGGTTATTCAAATCCCCACGGAGTAGAGGAAGACTTTCCAAAAGCTGTTACACCCTAATTCCAGCTCTATCTAGAAGTGTTCCTTGAGCAAGCAGTTGCTAATTGAGAGCTTACTACCCAAGTAATCACCAAGCCCGTTAATAGCCCTATAATGGTTTTAATTTCAATAAGAATTGTATCGAAAATGAATAAATTAGATGGAAAAATATTCCTTGATTATTTATGTTATTTCCTTGTTAAGAAGTGAACTCCTAAAAAAAATATTTAAGATACTTTTATGATTTTAGATTTTAATCATTTTATAAATTTTGGACAATGTGACAAAACAGGTTTTTCGCACTTTTTGAAGACATCGTAAAATATTTTTTGAAGTTGTTTCATGATCTAAGTTGCTTTAACATCCATGGAAAAGGTTTTGAAGAAAACACAACAGTTTACAATTGTCATTCTTGCTGAAATTAAAAAAATATAGAAATAAAGATTTTCGCCGAGAGTGATCCGCAACTACAACCTATTGAACGTCGATTGCTGATGCTGAATGGCAATTGTACAGAGCATCTTCAAAAGGATATTAGGATTTCTAAAACCTCGCAATAGTTAAAAATATACTGCAACGATGAGTTCAAAACACAAGAAAATGCACTGTCGAAAACCTCATAAGAGGAATAAAATCTAATATGCTATCAGTCCCTTAAAGAATATCTTTTGGCATATTTTTCTTTGTTTAGTTTCAATGAAGGCCATCACACACATAATTGAAGTTTTTTTTATATTTTGTACGGAATTCGAAGGAACATTTTGTTTACAACTTATTGTCGATACTGTTCTTATAAGGTTTATATACGGCATTCGTAGGCTTGGTGGTTACAAAGCCTGTACCATTTTTACATTAGTATTATTGTGTGGCAAGTACAAGTACAAGTGCCCAGGGAAGTCAATAAAATTTTCAATTAGTTCAGGAATTGAACCCAGATGCCTCCAGCATGGTCTTGTTTTATAGCTGCGCCTTTACCGACTGAACTAAGAGAGGCCCCTAATTTCATTTATGCTAATACTTCCAAATCGTGACACAGACACAGTGCAGACCCCACGAACTCTCAAGCTATACAATCTTCCGATGGTAGAGCTGCTTCCAGCTGCTGGGCCGATGATCTTCAAGTCGCTTTCTGGATATGTTTAAGGGAGACGAAGGTACTTCGGGCCAAAATTCCAAGGGATGCAGCACGCAATCAAGCGTTGTTGGTGCATCTTATTTAGCACTACGCAGTCGGTGGTACCACACAGATAAAAATTCTGAATTTTAATTGTGATGTAAACATTCATTCACGTAGACTTGTATTTAATTTCACGCAACCGAGCAACTTGCAAACAATTGTTGTTTACAAAGATGGGCTTTTGTAGACAATATTTGAACCATTGCATGAAATGTGTCAGAACTTTACATGATACATAATGTAAACGTATATGCTATGTGACGCTCCATTTATGTGCATCATATTGAACAGAAATTTACACTACTTTTTCGAACTGTGCAGTGCCACAGCTGTAACCGCTCGATACCCACTTTTGCATACCTTCAGTCCGGCCCAGTATAGTTTCTGCAGCGCTGCAGACCCTTCTGGGTTAAAGCTCCTCGTATATCGTTAGAAAAATGCATGTAAACTTCTGCGATATATAGCGCACTCGTTGTTAACACTAGGTTTAGCGTAAATTTACACGAAATTCATGTAATTTTAAGCGCATTTTCGCATAAACAGCGGTGTTGCATACAAGCTTGTAAACAGTTTCGTTGTTTATGCCAACCCTAATTAAAAATTACCACACTCGAACAATAATCCATATTATAGAACTCTTCCACAAATGGTTTGGATGATACCCTAAACACGTCGTTAAGCAAAATAACCATATACATTTGATTAGAGAAGTTTAGCTTAAAATTAAACGAGGGGAGATACTACGCGATGGTTTAAATTCACAATTTTTTTCTGCGTAGTTTACAATACACACTTAGAAGTAACTAATTTTACACGTGATGGAATCCAACTAATTTTACACGTGATGGAATCCATAAAAGATGAGACGTAAACAATCATGTCATGTTACATTAAGTGCTCCGAAACTAAAAAGTTCGTTGCTCGACGAAAAGTACGTTTGATTGAGCTGTATTTCGTGTCTATAATGACTCAAAATTATTTCAACATTGATGCTCGTATATGTCACTCTCAGGGCACCTAAATTTACATGAATTTTTCTAAGTGTGTATCACAACCCTGAAAGCCAAGCGACTTGCAGTTCTATGTTCCGAGTTTCTAGTCGTAGTTCATGCAATGCAAGGAATTTGCGCTAATATAAAAAAAAAACTTCCGGTCCTGGAGTATGCGGACGTGTTACCACCGCTGACCAATGTGGATTTCATATAAGCGCCACGATATAAAATGCTCTGTGCGCTTATACTGTATCCTCATCATGCTGCGGCGGTTATGCGCAATTATTTTGCAAGGTACAATAATAATCCTAACACAGATGATACTATTTACAAGTTAAGCGATGCCGGATTTCAAGTCATCGCAAAGCTTGGAATTCAACAGATGTCCACCCATGGATTGGTAAGTGGCAGATTTAACCATGCCGGATTGAAAGGAGTGTTATGTTGTTATGATACCAAACCCAAGAACTAGCCTATACCTACATGTTTTTCGTTCCATACACCCTAACTTTTCTAAATGCCTGAATCCGACTTTGTCGCTCATAGATATTATTTGTACATATATTATACGAGTCTGCACAAAAAAAACACAATTTCTGATGCCTCACTGACACAAATCGTTTTCTATATTTACAGCCGACTGAATGGAGGTAATTCCAACGCCTGGCGGCACAGCATGTCTCGCGATCTCAGCTCGGACATTGATTCCATGTTCTCGCGCTCGGGCGCGACACTTCCTAGAGGTGACTATCGTAGTTTCTTTAACTAGATTCATTAAAGTTATCTTTTTTTCATTTAGTTACATGATTTTGTAGTTATTTTTCGTTCATCTTAAGTTTTGTTCCTGTCCGTTTTTGTCGTCATTTTTTCGATTTTTAATAACTTTATATTATTTTTTCTTTATTTTGCTATCCCACCATCTGAAGAAGTGAAGAACCGCCTAAAGGTTTACCTTTAGAAATTCCCCATTTTTTGAAAATGTTAAAGAAACCCACACACTCAAATAAAGCGACGCAAAACATTTTACACTAAACCGACTAAACCTTCCTTGAAAAAAAAAACGGAAACAGCACAAATCATCATCCAAAAATCTCAGCTGGAATACTACTCTTCAAATGAAAACATGGAAACACCAAAAACTGATACAATCAACTTTACAAATACATTTAGATAAAAAAAAAGTAGAAGTTAACATCTTCCAAAAAGTATCTACACGTTTTGAGAATGATTTTTGCTAACGCTTTTCACGTGGGTGAATCCGTGTATGATTTTAGTAGAGTAAGAGCAATTGCAACGTTATTCTGTTAGGCGGCATCACCCACGTTCTATGTATGACAAATAACTGCTTTTTTGTAAGTTGTGTAGCTAGTGATTTTTTTTTCAAGAGCGAGTGTTACATATAAACTGATTACATGTTTAATTTATTTATCTAGTGTAACATTAAATAGATGTTTGGATTGATGATACATTTAGAAAATGACAAAAAATGAATAAAATTCAACATTGGTTGTTAAAATGTAGCAATTGTTTCCTTTCATTGTACCTAGATGTAGTCACACACTGTCTTAGTATCGGTTAGTTTTATGACAAAATTCGCGTTAAATGTTGCGTGTAATGATTCGTCATCGCGTAAGCATAGTCTCAATCCAAAATATTTGTTTAGTGTTCCTCTCGGTTTTAGTTCAATTTTGAATGAGTTTTGTTTGTTTATACATTTTCCAACTTAACTGACTGTCGTTGGATTTATGCTAGTTGTCTGCTTAGCTTCTACGGCAAATACAATCTCATTCGGTCAATTAACTCCTTTTATCAAAACGGCAAAGTTTCCAAATACACATTCATTTGATTGCGAGAGATGGTTAAAGTTGACGAACAGTCGAAAATTAACTTAACACGATTTCCATCTAATAGGACTAGAACGAGAGGTAATAACTAACCGAATATTTTGCATGAGCATCTCTTTCTCGGTCGGTCAAGTTTCGAATCGTTACGCAACATCGTACGGCTTTAACCATCTGTCAATGTCAACGGTAGTGAATGTTCTGATAAATTAGTGAGATAAAAAATCTAATCATATAATCATAAATCTGTGCAATTTGTGAAAAATGGTTTTGTTTTGGTTTTTGATGAAACTGAAGAGAGCTAAAATACACAGCTTCCGTTGCCAACGCAGTGAGTAGCATAGAGTCGTAGAAAAGTTAGCCTGAATGTTGTTTCCCTAAATGTTTAAACTAGCGTGTGATATATGAGAAATATATTTGTATGATCGTTGTTTAGATATTTATCATCGTGTTGAAGTCATAGTTTGAAATTCTCAATTGGACGTGGACTAACTCTTAACCGACTTAACGAGAGCTACAAAATGGGATTGGGCCCAACGAATCATCATAAGTCATATATAAGACCATCAAAGAAAATCAACCAGCCGCTTGCAGTATGTATACATCGTGTTTTAGTTATTTTTTACAATTTAGTGGCCATAATAAAAGAAGAAACAGATTAAACTTCAATTCACACTGAGAACTCCAAAACAATTCATTTTAGTGGAATGATCTAAAGAGGAATTCTTCAATACAGAAATCCAATCCAATCCCAATGGGCAATTTTCGTTCGCAATGTGGCTCTGAACAGAAAATATGATATGTAGAGTAATCTCGATCTGCTAAGCTCGCATAGTGTAGACTTTATGGTGACACGATCATATAACGGTGAATTTCAATAATGGCATTGGAACACACAATAATAGGAACGAATAGCCTGGATCATCTACCCGTATAGATATCCTATGTGTAACACACAAGGGGTCTATCAAGGTTGTCATTTACCGGGTGTTTTTTTAAGCGATTTTTCGGTAATGGGAAGTTCAATACCGGTAATGGATAATTTGTTTCATTAATGGAAATATGCAATATCAGTTGTTTATCCGAAATGATTGAGTCCTCATAGCACATCCCAAGTCATTAACACAAGTCATGCAAATTATATAGAAGTTCGAAAGCCCTAGATTGACCTTATTAGTTGTTTAAAAAATTGCCAAAAAATACTTAAGATGGACAAACAAAAGATGCAAAAATGAAGCATGGCTCGAGAACAAGAGATGCGTAGATTTAAAATAAATTTCTTTGCCAATCTATGGCCATCAACGAAAACAAGTTTGGTGATTCTGGGTTGGCTATTGTATTAACAGTTTTTTTATCTAGTTAATTTATTTGTCAGCTAAGGTTCAATCGCGTTAGCTTTACGGAGCCGATAATTCATTGTTCATTGGTTGTAACAAAATTACTTATTTCTAGTAGGAGTTGGGTCGAGGTTAGAGGGGTATATTTTCGAAGAATAGAATCAGGGGAGGAGCTTGGGAGTAGGGGTATTAACAGTTGATGTAGCTTAAAATCAGTGACCAAGTGAAGAAACTATTTATAAACCAAATATTAAAATGCTACACACTATCGTTAATGCTATTTTATGAGAAATGTATTTTGCAATTCTGATTGGGCTTCTCAAAAGTGCGGAATCACTAATAAAAGTGTTGTATCGTCTTGGTGTCTTCTGCGCTATTCTTTCCGAAAAAGTGCGACTAAGAAACCGAAACGATTTAACGTAAAATCGAACTTTTATTAGTGTTTCCCCCTTTTCGTCGCACTTACAATGTGTGCAATTTTCTATGTGCTGATATAGTTTTGAATTATTAAAAAAAAAACCTTGTTAATAAATATGAACTTTACTTCAATCTGTAATGATTAAGAAATTTCAAAATGTAAGTTTTACGTTCAAAATAGTAGCTGAATAACTTTTGAAAAATCTTAAAATTTAAGATTATTTTATTCATTTAAATTGATACTTTATTATTAAAGTCTATCAAATCAGTAAACCTTATAAATGCTCTTAGTGTACAATCTTTTGATATAAGACTTACAGAAATTACCGATCACAACATGACTTTCCCAACAACAACAAAACACGATTGCTTGACTTGGTTATGGAAAAGCTTTACTTCACGATAAAAAAGCAACAAGTCTACCCGCGACCAAAGTACTCTTCGATCCACCTGCATAATATAAATGTTCCGGTCTATGTATAGGCCAAAAAACTTGGCCCCTGGTGGCCATTTTAAAAATGATTAGTGATGCAGATTTCCAAACTATGTACGGCGAGGTATGAGACTGAAAGCGTCTATTTCTTATACAAATTATCTATTTATTTTTTCGTTGATTCTACGGGTGATAAAAACTCAAGGCCTGCTCAATTGAAGTATTGTACCTCATAATACTAAAAAAAAATAAAGTTCGCTGAAAGTGGTTAATGTTTTAATATAGGTATATTTTTATTTTTTATCAGCCATAGTAACAATCAAATTTTAAAAACCTAATACGGAAAATATAAGCGTTTTAAAATCTATAGGCCTAGACAACTTGGCCTATCGCGGCCATCTTGAAACACGTCATAATGATGCAGATTTTAAAATGTTACACGGCTATGAATGGGAGAGAAGTTTTAAAAGGCTTCTGTTACTGTGGATTGTTACTATGGGTTATTAATGTCAAAATATACCTATCTTAACAACTTTCAGCGTAAGGCCCGTTTTGACAACACGTGATTTTTATGTTATCTTTTTTTTATAATATCAATTTATCAATTGAACGCTAAATTCACTTTGTGACCTTACTAGACCACTATTAAGGCTTTCTTAAAGACTGGAAACCTTTGCTCACAAAGTACTGCTCCAAAATTGTGGAAAGTAACAGCTAATGTTGCCAAAAATGGGAAGGCACTGTGTTTATCATAATACGTCTATTTAGTAGCTTTTATCAGCCGTAGAATCAACGAAAAAAAAATAAAAGCATTTTAAAATTTCGCTCTCATACTTCACCGTGCAAAAATTTTATATCTACGCCGTTTCTATTATGATTGTTTTCAAGATAGCCGCGACGGGCCAAATGTTTAAGGCCTGTACTGCCTATAAGCTCATATCAGTTCCATATAGAAAAAGTAGGCATTAAGAAAATGGCAATCCAAGTTACGAATTGCATTTCCCATGTAAATATTTGAAAAATCATATTAAATTTATTGATAATTTGTTGCAATCAGTGCAAAATATGACAATTGGGTTGTTTAACTTCGAAAAATATACCGATTTTTATACATAATCTGATAGAACTTCGTTTTCTGAGCACAACGATGAGCATAACTCTCACAATCTCATTCATCGCAAATAATGTTTTAGTTGGGAATGTGCTTGCATTTGTCATGGTGGCGCCACTGAAGCATTGAGCAAGCCCCCACATTTTGTACTTAACAGTGATGCCAGTTCTGTTTCACGTCTAGTTGTCAGCTCTTGAAAATGATAAGTGGTCAAGGCATCCCACGGGAGACACATACCACATCTGTCGAAAACAGAAAAAAATTGTTGAATGTTACATCAAAACTGCTGCACATTAGTCCTTCCGTTCCTAATATTCCGTTGTACGATGTACACAGAATTCGAGAACAAATCATGTTGATGACTGTAATATTCTATCATCTTTTACCAGTTATTCAATACTTCACCATGAATATCATTGATTGATACATATTATTTTTTTTTCTGTGTACGCATTGAAGTGATGAGCGGTGGTCGAAAGGGCACTAAAAAGTGATGCATTACCTCGTTTAAAAACTTGTTTCCAGCAAAAGAAAAAGCACACTAAGCAAACAAAAGTCTTAGCCTCTGAGAATTTTTCCTACGGATCCGTATTCCTGCAGAATTCAATCAATTCTTTAGATCTTCGGAAAATTTCATAGAAACGACATCACTGACTTCCATCTGTTTTGTTTTTATTCAACACAGCTGACGCGTTGACAGAACCAGGGAAAAGCAACTAGTGAAAAAATTGCATGCACGAGGGATGCTCCGGTTGCAAAACATTGCTTGGGAATGTGGATGATAGATGGTGCTAGTGCGCATGCAAAATACGCTTGCCGATATTTTTTGAAGAATTTTCTTCTAAGAGTTATGTCTGTTTGTCTGTGCTAAATCTATTCGTTGACAGCTCGCTCCCACCAAGGGGCGCTAAGATGGTGATAGTTGCTAATGTAATCGTACTTATTTAAAATAGTTCCAGTGTACCAAAATTGATGAAATTTTTGATTTCGGTTCCATTTTTAATGTAGATGTGTTTGGCACGTTTCCGGTCACTTCTAGGCCCGGGCATCGGAACCAAAGTCGGTTGTCCAAGCACCACCGCATTTTTTATCACACTTTACCCAGAGTTGTGTAAGAGTTTGCTACATCCTTGACAAGCCATGGAAATTGCATCGCTTTCGTAATTGATTGCAGCAAGCAGGTGTGATTTTCCGAAAAACTTCAATGTCCCAAGGTACAACTGCCCATGACCTTAAGGATGCTAAATACATTTCAATAGCTTCATTCATCCCTATTTTTAAGCTTTATTGCGTCCCCACTGGGACTTAATTCCTGCTCTCAACTTAGTGTTCTTTGAGCACCTTCAAAGTTGTTAATTGAGAGCTTTCTAAGCATGCACCAGGCCTGCATTAGTATTATTGAGTGGCTAGTTCAAGTACAAGTACCCAGGGAAGCCGACTATTTTTCCACCTTGGAATGAGGGTACCAAATTAAAAAAAAAATCATTCAAATAAAAAGTTAAACTGATTATTTTTAACATTTGTGATTTTAACTATATTGCAGAATACAAACAAATATTTTTTAGACTATTTTTAACGTCTTTTTTTTTTGTTTGCGCCGCTTAGTTCTCGAAAACGAGGCAACTTATCGAACTAATTCCAATCATTTTGAGTCATAGGCAATGAAATGGCATACTTAAAACAACACAATTGTTTGTGTAAATACAGGATTTTGCTAATATTAAGACTGTCATCAAAATCTAAATAATTAAAAATATTTAAGCATGTGAAAAATCAAAATCTTGGTAGGTTTTTTTACGACACATAAATGCAGAATGTTGAAATTTTGTGAAACAACATTTTAATAGTGAGCGCAATATATATCACAAGAAAAATCATTCACCACAAAATAAAAACCATGCATTTAAGGGTTAAAAAAAATATTTTTTATAACGTCCACTGAACTTGTCCAAGACTTGATGTTATTTATAATTTGATAACAATCAGTTCAGTGGACTTAGTGGACACTTAGTGTTAGTTTCAATTGAAAAAAATCTTCTAACCTAACAAATGTATGGGTTCGTCACGAAGGGTATGTCCATAAACTATGAAGACACACCCAAAAAATGTTTTGTCCCTAATCTGAATAATATTGTTGATTGTAAACATTAACAGTGTTGATAAAAGCTTGTAAGATGTAATAATGCTGAACTGAAAGCTAATTGAAAGCTTTGAACTAATGCAACGTGGGTCCTCCTCACAGCAATGTGATATTCACTTACAGCAAAAATGAGAATGAAAGCAATGCGAATAATCCATATAATTTCGTTGTAAAAGGATTGATATGCTTGAGCAGCCGTCTAACAACTCAGTAGATTATTTAAAATTCATGCAGAAAGCTTACACGCAGTATTCATGTTACTCTTTTGTCAATCAATCACACTTTGAAGTCATGCACACAAATAAAGAATAATACAAACAGCATCAATTTCACCTTCATATGAATCGGAAGATTCCGATGTTTTGTTGTTAAGCATGGGTTTTAGAATACAGAAATGTTAATTAATTTGATACTTTTGAATTTTATTGGTGTTCAACGAAGAAGAAAAACGTTTTCGGCTCCGTAAAATTTTATTAAAACAGTTGAGCCTAAGCAAATAATCAAATAAAAAAATAAAAGAAAAACGTTGACTTCATATAATTTAAAATAAACAACAGCGGCAACTCCATTGCAAATATTAAATCAATAGAGCAACACTGATTGGTTTGGATGCATTTCTGTATTCTGTTTTTTTTACTTACCTCAAATCTCAACAAAACTCATTCCATCGGCCTCTTAAATTTTTTTTTTATTTGGTTTTTGTCCCTCAAATTAACAATTTTTGGTTCGTTCACAATCCGTAAAACTCGAATTTCCTACTTTTTAATGATAAGTTCATTCGTTTAAAAAAAATCAAATACAGAAAAAGTGAAATACAAGAAGCTGACTGTTGCTTGTTTGTTTATCTTTTTTTTTTCTCTATGTGATTGCAGTGGGGTTCCGCGTAACGTTATCGCATGTACCAAATACCAGTAGAGGTAGTTTGCAACCGGGAACTACTTCCACTACAACTGCAAATACTTCTACTACCACTACCACTGCTACTACCACACCATCAACGAACACATAAATTGAACATGGTGAAAGGTTATGGCCTACTATTCCCTACAGACAGACAGTGTGTACAATCCTCACACTCAAACGGTTAAAAGAAGTGACTTAACATTTTCACATAAATATTGATAACAACTGATAGCTTAGCTAAGAAATCCCAAAACCAAAACAAATCATTACATTTTCACATAACATACACACACATTTCTATACGCAAATATACGATGAATAAAATAAGGACAGTATCAAAAACCAAAAGAAAACTAATATATTTATCATGAAATGCACAAGATTGTTTAAACTCATCACAGTTTGCACAGTTGTTTTTGACCCTTTAAAAAAGTTGTTATACCCTTTTAAAAAAACAAGCGTTTTGTGTATTTAACTTACCAGATAATCCAAAAACATATTTTATTATTAGCTTTCAGAATCGTTGCCTTTCAACATATAGTTCTATTAAGTTTGTCCTAATACAACTCAACAGCATTGCTTTTTTGCCTTCTTAGATTACGTATAAAACTTCTATTTACAGTCATCTTTTGCCCGTTGCGGATTTTCTCATTGGGTTCCCAATTCAAAAGCAGAGGTTGTGCCAAATCAGGGTAAATAAGTCAGTATGGCCTAACTCGAAGCGTAAATAATGACAACACACCCACGCAATCAACTACGCCATAGAGTAATGTTTAGTCTATCATATAAATACAACAATTTAGATTGCGTGGATACCCGAGCAAAGCTGAAGATCAAATTGAAATCAAAATATGCTGTTATGATGTAACTTATTTTGAATGCTCCAGTTGATCTCATTTTGGTTGACTTAACGGTTAACACAGCAAAAATGAAAGCAAAATTTTACACTGTTGAAGCAAACGGAAAACTAATCCTGCTTTCAATGAAATCAATTTGATTACTGATTTTGCATTCATAATGTTTAATTTTGAGTAAATGGTTACCATTCATGTTTCTCAAGCTGAAAGACTTGGGCTCCAACCTCACCCCGGGCAAGTCACGAATGACCTAAAATGTGTTAAACAAATCAAATAAACAATAATCATTAGTTCAACGACAGATGAATTTCAATTAAAACAAGACGTTAACAGCAGAACTTCAAGTTAAGTTGCTTTCATTTAAAAAGTCTTGACTGCATAATGAAAGCACAATATAATATCAGACTTATTGCACAACATTTGAAATCAAAATGAGTTTTCATTATGATAGGAACTGCACACTTTAATATCGATTTGCTTTCATTTTGTTAACCGACTTTGCTCGGGTATGTGGTCATTCAAAGTCATTGTTTGCGTTTTGAGTTAAACCATTCTGATATGTTTCCCCTGAAATCAGGTTTAATATTTGGATGCTTATAAATTATCTAGTGGGCTGTTCTTCGTGAACAGGTGCAGTTTTACAGCTCAAAACCGTCCCAACTATCGAATGGCATTCGGTAGATGGGATAGGCTAGCATGAGGTTACGTACCAACCAGCGAATGATGACTGTACACAAAATTTAATCCTAAAATACATCGAAGCCAACTGAAAGCATTGACTAGCTGTTGATTTTGTAAATTTATATTACTTTCCTTCTAACTTACTTGTTAGTATGCTCTTATCGTGTTTGTGTTTGATCCTATTAATCGAAAGGAACTCCGAATCAATACAGCAATCACCCATGTTATCTACAGGTTTGTATGAAATATAATATGCAACAAGGTTAACTCAAGTTAACATTCGTCCTTACGCTAGGGTGTTGAGGTCAATATGACCTAAAATGAACTTTTGAATCAACATAACTTTCTACGGTAAGCAAAAAAATCTTAATTTTCTTTACTATATCTATTTTTTCAAGACAAACATTTCTACATTGAAATAATTTTAGAAGAAAAAAAGATTCAAATCATATTCACCCGAATTTCACAGGATTTCGAAATCAAATCTTTTGGCCCTATTATGTTAGTCGAGTCGACCTACAGATTCTGTGAATATATTCTGCCATTCTTCTGATTTCTCGAGGCCAATTATAAATTCCAGATATTTCGGATATCGGCTCCGATGGCCACAGACAACTTCCCATACTATTGATCATGCTAAACCATGGTCCACTTGGAATCTGGTCGCAAGAAACCAGCTCTATATCAGGATTGCACAGTGGTTTGAAGGGATGATATGTGCGGTATATTAATAACATTAATACGGATAACAGATTATATTAGACACACAGTATCTTTGGAGAAGTTTTTGTTCATGATTAACTCGTTCATACATGGGCCGGAACCAACTGGTTTATTTCACTTCCGAAGGAAGACGTGATCAGAGATTTTTATACCTCAGCAAAATCCCACCGACCTTGGCTGGGATTGAACCCAGACCCATTGGAGTGAGAAGCAGTCACACTTACCACTAAACTACCGGCGCCGGCTATAAGCACGCAGAACAGGGAACAAATCATTACAGCGCAACAGTGCTGAGATTTGTCATTGTCATTGACAGACTTTTGCGCGATATTGACAAAATTGTTTTTCACATAGTCAATGATAGACTTGATCCTCAAAAAAATCTTCGTCAAAATCTCATTCATTTTTTCGTCAATGACAAAGATTCACCTGGTAACAGAAAGTGTAATTTCTTGCATTCTGAGACACATTATTGTTATCCAAGCGGTTCAGGACGTAGATGCTTATTCACTTTAATGGCTCCATTTAATTGTTTTGCTCAAGCCATTTAATTTCATTTCAAATTTAGCTAATAAACAAATCAGCACATGTTCGTCACTGACAAAAATGCTACTGACAATTGACATGGTTTGCCTTGTCGATGACTGTTAGCTCAAACGAGTGACCAAAGCAGAATTTTGAGTATCACCGTGTATTGTCGAAATTTTGCAGCACTGCAGCGCAATCAAAACAAATCATCCTCTGGCGGAGCCTACTACACACTTAATCTACTACCCATAATCGCATATCAGTCCCATCTTTGCTTGATTTCCTATCCATATGGGACTGATATGCGATTATGGGCAGTCTAGCTCGGTAAAATCTCCAACAGCCGATTTCCTCGGCATTTACTTTTGCTGATATCTTTGCAAAATATATTTTTGTTAGCTGATATCTCAGCAAAATCTTATTTGTTAGCTAAGTCTCGGCAATTGTTTTACTGAATCTCAGCAAAATAAATTGCAGAACTACTCGGCAGTTGGAATTTCGGTGAAAAATTTTAAGTAATAAAAAGCAACATTGTCTAGTTTTGAGATTAACTGGTTGCTCAGCTGTGCAAATTTCGGCAAAAATAAGTTTCACTGAGATCTCAGCAAAAGTGACATTTGATTGCTGAGTCTCAGATAATGCTTTGCTGAATCTTAGCAAACAAATGAAATGTTTGCTGAGATCTCAGTAAAACTGTTTCATGTCGAGATTTGCATAGCCGAGCTCGGTAGAAAAAACTAAGTACTACTAGAGCTGAGCTGGCCCGATTTACCCTGGCGGGGCAGCCTCGTGTTGGTTACTCCCACAAAAGACGTCCGAATTTGAATGAAAATGAGAGAAGAAAGAAATAACAATTTTAGACATCTGTTAGCTATTCTGACTTTCCCTTTCTCCTCGCTGATTCTCGCTGAAACACGGTGGTAGATTCGACGGCGGTAGCGGCTCCAGACACGATCAGTGCCGACCGTTTACTCCTTCCTTGGTGCTGCCTATACAGTGGTCCTCAGCGTTTAGTGGGGGAGGATCGACAGGGCTCATTTTTCGAAACCCCCGGCGACGATGGTGACGAATCACTGAAGCAACTACTCGCCGTATGTGGTCCCGAACACGCCTTCGGTTCGGCCTGCCTTGCCTCTCCTTGACTCTTGACTGCGGTGGTTAGACTGGCTCTACTGGCTCAGCTACCGCAGTGAGGACGGCGGATGTTTGGGGATTCTTGGTGGTTAGCCGGGGAAACAAAAGACTCATTTTTGCTTTGCTTTCCTCAATGGCGGCGATCCAACACCCTTCACTGTGCCCAATTTTCAAACCACAGATGTCGAGAAAATGTCCACTCGAAAGATGTCCTTGACCGGAACGAGAATCGAACCTACCACCGGCTTGGTTATACCAACCGGTGGAAACTAACGATTTTAAATTGGCTCACTACTTGACTAGCCTATTGGTCCCAAGCAAATCGATTAACGTATCCCATTCTAGTCGAAATTCTAGTACCACACAATGTTTGTTTTGATTTGCCATGAAAGTTTGACAGATAAAATGATGTTTCGAGGGGTGAATCGATTTGCTTGGGACCGAAGATAGTACCAGAGCTGAGCCAAAAAGTTGAGCGCGTTTCTTCGGGACCTACTAGTCTTAGAATTACCTCTATGGTTATACCAACAATCAATACGAAACTAACGATTTTAAATTGGCTCACCACTTTAGTAGCCTATTGGTCCCAAGCAAACGATTAACGTACCCTATTCTAGTTGAAATTCTATTACTACACTATGTTTGTTTTGATTCGCTATGAAAGTTTGACAGATAACATCAGGGGTGTGTGGATTCATGCAGAACATGCAGGGGTGAGTGAAATAGCTTGGGACTGCTTGGGACCGTTGTTCTGGTACTGAGTGAGCCAAAAATAATAATGATTTTCTTCGGGACCCAGTGGTCTTAGAGTTACCTCTATGGTTATACCGTGCGTTTACTGACCAGGCTGCGTGAGTGTTTGAGAATCATTATAAATGCTATTCTTGGAGTAGGATGAACCAAATCTGCTGAACGTTACGTACACGAAACGAAAATTAATTATTTTATTAGCCTTATACACGCAGAAAAAAATATTTTAAACGTAATAATATTTGACGTAAAATCAAAAAGAATTTCATTTTGTTTTGGCTGCAAAAAGAAATCATTATTGTTTCAACAATCCAGTATTTTTGTTCCCCAAAACCTATGGATTGCTAAATCAAAAAGATTTTTTTTCGAATTTACAAGAGCTTTCATGGTTTTGACGTAAGCTGTCAAATTTGGCAGCTGGGTCAACAACAAAAATACGTTTGTTTTTAAAAGAGATTTCTTGTTGATTTAATCATATTTATTTTATGAAGTGTGACAATTCACGCAGTAGAAATAAAAATATGTTTATTGATTCAAAAATCCGGAGTGATTTGAGATTTGGGCGTAATTGCTTTTGAAAACAAACACGTCAATTACTGATTTCTCTTGAATAAAAACTCAATCTCACAAACAAACTATACCAAATGATAGAGGAATCATTCCTCTACCTCATAGTGTTATTACTTTTCGAGATTGAGCTTTTATTCGCGAGAAATCGGTGATTGACGTGTTTGTTCACAAATGCAATTACGCCCAAATCTCAAATCACTCCGGAAATAATATGGCCAATTTTTTTTGTTTTGTTTTCCTTTTTCACTGATCATCCTTCGAAAGGGAAGTAAAGCCGTTGGTCCCCGATTAATTAGTTGATGGGTCGATATGTAGGGTCCAGGTGTGGGATCTGCCTTCCTGGCGCCGGGAGCATTGGTACTCAGTACGGAAAACAAGATCTACGGAAAACAAGATCGACGGAAAAAAATCAAGGAAAAAACAGAAAATTGATTATATTTAGCAACTGCAGCTCGAACTGCAGCATACTTACTTACCTCAAGTCTCAAGATTTTCGGAAATTTTGCACTTATTTCCCGAAATTCACAAGTTTTGTTATTTATTCGTGACAACGAAAATGCATCGACGCGCCATCTGTTGCTCATCGGTCACATCGTAAAAACTCCCTTTGATTTTAAATTTAGATTGGTAGCATGGCGTTGTACCGTCTTCCGCCGCGCCCTGTTATAAAAGTCGAAGAGTGACAGGAGTCATCCTCTTTCGCTACAGCGACGTCATCAAGCATCATCATAATTGAAGTGGAACCAAAACAAACAGAAGAAAGTAGTGAATTGAATTTAAACCCGTAGTTTATTGCCTTTTGTAATTAGGTGAAATATAGTAATTTTAAATAGAATATAGACAAAGTAAAGTGCATTTCAAGTCCAGTGATCGCGTGTGAACACTTACCTTTCGAAGGATTGGTCCGCCATCCGAAAGTACCTACAAAAGAAAGAAAAAAAAGTGAGTGAAAACTTTACCTGTCCGTGCGCCAACCTGGAAGTCATCGGTTGAGACAATTTTTCTGCTGCTGCTCGCTGTGCTCCCGACATTATTGTTTACATTTTTGTCCGGGTGAAAACGAGGGAATGGTTGGTAGTTATTTTTGCATTCATGGCCCGGGGAATGGACACAGCAAATAAATGCTAAATTAAAATGAACTATTGAAATAGAATAGAATAGAATAAAATATTGTTATTTTTACAATAGTTGCAGTTGAAAAGTGGCTTATTAAAACAAAAAGAATCCTATTTTGAATTTATATGAATAAGTATTATTGAAACAGCAAAATGCAATATAATTTGAACCGGAATTCTTTGTTTAAATACAACTAAAGTTTTTTTTTTTGGTTCAATGCAAACAATTTTCTGTCCGTATGATGTTAGATTTATTTTAGTAAAAAGCTCGATTTTCAACTTTTTATCTAGTCGACGAATTTTAGTAAAATTAGTGGCAGATGAATGATCTTTACTCTTCGCATGTCCGTCCCATAGCGAAAATCGGCAAGCCAAAAAAATCGTGTTTTAAGTTTGCTTCGTACCATTGCTTCCAGCCCAGTGGCAGGTGCGTAGGCAACATGTTATACCATGACAGCGGGCCCAGCACAGCTAAATAAACCATTTGAGCCCGGGACATGCTGCCTACTGTCAAACGCTGCTGTTGGTATAGGCCTTGTTACTGGCCTAATTGCTTCTTATGTGATGGGATAACCAACGTGACTGTCTTTCCAAACTTTTTCGGAACAAAGTTGATGAGTTCATCCAGTATTTTGAAAATATGGGTAGTTAGCTACCATTTGCATTGAAAAAATCAGTTTTGACAAAGACGACTATGGGACCGACATGCGAAGAGCGGCAGTTTATTACGACTAAAAATGAGCAAAATTTCATGAAGTTATGTTCATTTTATTTCAAGAAATCAATTAAAGTAATGTGGTTCGTTTTAAAAGAATTTTCTTAGAAGCATGTGCCATCAGCCACCAGATGGGCTAGTATGTTTGTTTTGTTTTGAACAAAGTTGATTTTGTGTGCAATGATCTTTGACAGTGTGCAAAGAGTATATCATTTTGTCATTTTTTTTATGTATTTCAGTTTTGAATAGAGTGAAAGAGATATAACCAAAACATTCTAGTACATTTGTTGAAAATGCTAGTACAATCCAGTAGTACTGTTGCCATGTGATACACTGAAAAATTGCAATAGCAGGTTCGTCACCAAAGTTTGTCACTTCGTCTGTGGTATAAGGGGATTTCTATCCGTGTACGATTTAAAAACTATGAATCGTAGGGTTGCTGTTAGTATTTTCTATTTTGGACCAATAAATAGCTTAAATCCATCATGCATCTTGCCCTTATTTGTCTTTTTTTTTAATAAGAACAGATACAACTAAAAAACGCCTCTTCAAACCTGACTAATAACGACGGGTTCAAAATAGAGGCATTAGCCAAGCGGTCAACATAGAATAATGAAATTTAATCTTTGTGTTTAAGGGTGTAGCTCAAAAATTATGTCCTTGGTGATTTTTTTATTTGAAATATTTCGACCAAATACCAATATTTAGATACAGGATGACATGAAGTTTTGAATACTATGCTCCGAATTTGCGGCAATATTATTTTTTGAGAATAACAACCGTCATTAGCACACCGTAGTGACAATAACGTTGGGTCACTTGCATGCCATAGTAATATGTGATTGAAAGGTATGTATGTGTGTATTCTTCATCGTTCTGAAAAAGATTAAATGCACTTTATCCATATTAGATCGAGATCAATGTAATCCAACTGTAGCTGAGGTAAGTAGACTTTATTTTATTCTGTTAATTTGATTCAATTTGTATTAACCACCTCCCCCAAAAGTCACACTTTACCCAAACACGACCAGATCAACAATCAAAGAAAAGAACAAATGTTTAGGCACAAAATCCTGCACTTCTGTCAAATAAAGTAAATGATTTTCTCCGCTAACATCGTTTGAAAAATATTTGACCCTTCCGAATTTTCCATTTCGAAGCACACATATCTGTTCGGCCTGTCAATACTGTTTGTTCTTCTCTTTTTCTCTTTCCCTCTTTTTCTGATTTTCTTCCAGGAGCTAAATACAGATCACAAATCAATAATAACAACAATTTTGACGTAGCTCATAACAAATCCGATGGTTTGAGTCGCAATAACAATAGCAACAATAATAATCTGTCATCCGCAATATCATCGTCCTCCTATAGAAACGGTTGCAGCAGTAGAAGCGAAGCATATCAAACTAGTTATGGAAGCAGTAGCAATAGTAATATGATTAATAACAATAACTGTTCTAACCAAGATAGCCAAATTAATGTGGGTGCCCTGTACGAGAACGGTGAAGAGGTACTAGATTTGGCCGATCTGGACCTGTCGCAGTTACGCTTGTCGAAAAAGGATTTGGAAGCCCTATCCAGCATAACTCCATCACTATCTCAACGCGTTCAAGAGCAGTTGTTGGCTCAACTACCACCTCAACAAGCCAAAAAGCTGTCCAGGACACTGTCCATGCAAAATGGGAATAGCGTGGCGAGTTCATATTCGTCGATCAACCGTTCGTACAAACGTAGTTCAAGTAGCAGTGGTGGCCATACTGCAGAGGATTCCAGAGATAGTATCACACCAACCAACGATATGTTCGACAGCGATGCATATCTACAAAAACGATCATCGAACAAACAAGATCGGAGCTCACGCAGTTCGAGTAATTCCCGAGATATCGTGTCTCCCCCTCCCCTTCCACCCCCTAATTTCAACGATGATTACGGAACATCATCATCATCTCGTTTCCCTTATGCTAACGAGAGTCATGAACGGTTCCGGACATACGAGAAGTACACACCCTACGCAACGAACTCCCAGAACGATTCAGAACACGAACGAAGCAAATCGCTGGAATATGACAAAAAGTTAAGCTGCTATGAACCGCTGCCACCACGTACCTCCTGTCTCAGCCCTACAAACGAAAGGTACGGTAGGCCACCGAGCGGTTGTATCTCTCCTCCTCCCATGTCCTCGTCATCCGGCTATTCTAGTCAACGTTCCACTAGACGCATCTCCAGATTCTTGCGTCCGGACTTTTTTGATCCACCAAAAGAGTCCAGCGACCAAGAGAAACAGAAGAGAGAGCTAGAAACGCAGAATATTTTAAGAGAGATACGGGAAAAAAGTCACGAGAGAAGTGTAGACCGTAGCTGCAAATCCGAATACGCAGCAGAGAAAGGCTCCGATCGTTTAAACTATTTTATGCAAAAGTATCACAAAGACTACAGTACAGACGATAGCAATCAATACAGGTATAATAATTACGAAAGAAACGAAAACTTGGAACTAAAGGAAGTTCACGATCAACGAAACCGAAGAAGTGTATCTAGGCCGCGAGAGGTTGTTGATACAAATGTTGCTACCTTTAATAAAATCACGGCAACGAGTTCTTTCGCAGACAAAATTCTTGATGAGCTACACAGTTTAGCTGTATTGCAAAATATTACGCAGGAAACAGCCCCTAGCAAAAGTAGGAGCAGGGAAATCATCGCGGAAGAAGTTGCCCCTGAAGTAATCAAGAGATCAACCCCGGAGCGAAGTTCCACGACCAACTGTGTCGAATGCAACGGCAGTGCTTCAAAACAGTCGGAGGAAATTAATCCAACGAACGTCAGTAGCAAAGTTCCAGATGAACCACTCACTGAACCGATTGCCACGAGCAAAGTAGTAAAGGTGAAAAAGGTTAAAGTAAAACCAAAACTGGACGCCGACGGCAATCCAATAACGGTAACTGTTAAGAAGATAAAGAAGGTAGTAAAGTCAAGCGCTGAAGCTACTCCTGCAGTAACTCCCGTAGAAGATACTCGCGATGAGGATAAAAGTCTAACTGAAAAACTTAGAATTGTGAAGAAAGAATCAAAACTAGTTAGACCAAAATCTTACCCTTCTAAAGATCCGGAGCCTTTGAAATTGGTAACACCAACTACATCCGAACAACCCTCATCAGATTTCACAACAACCCCAAGAAATGAATCAGATCCATCGGCTTGCAGCACTCCGTCTAACGTAACAACGACCATTACACCAGTAGTTAAGATAGCCAGACCAAAGAGTTTCCCAAGCTCGAAGTTAACACCTCCAAAAGAAATAAAGCTTCCGAAAAATGTTACCGACACCCCACCGTTGAATGCAATCATAGAACAGCCAGAGGAAAAGAAGCTACTCAAAGACACTAAAGATAAGACGCCTCCGAAAACCTCCACCGTCAATACTTCAACTGCTAGCGAAACCACAACCTCTGCAGCAGTCCCTGGAACAACTAAAAAGGTTCGCAAAGTCATACGAATTGTTAAAAAATCAACCGCATCAAAAAGCGACTCTACCACCAAATGCAGCAGTGAGGAGAAAACGATTAAAGAATCAGCAACAGTAACGAAACCCGTAAGTGAGGTTAAAGAAATTAAAGAAAAACGAGTCGAAATAGTGTCACCTGAACCGATACAAAAAGTGCCAAAGGAAAAATCGAAATCACCGGAGAAGAAAGTCAAACAAGGCTTTCTTGCCAGCATTGGTCAAAAGTTTGAAAAATTCCGAGAATCGAGCAAAATGACGAAAGAAAAGAAAACGAATGCAGACGACAAAGCGGCGGAATCGGCGACTGAACAGCCGACTGTTCGAAAAAATAACGATTCAGCAGCGGAAACGCTGAAGAAGGAAAAGAAGAAAAGCCAAAGTGTAACTAATGCATCGTCTATACCAGACGATGCACCAGTAAGTGAAGAGAAGAATACGCGAAAATCAAGAATAGATAAAGTGATTAGGAATCTACGCGAGATGTCGGTACCGCGAGCACCGGTGCTTACAGAGTCAAATCTTATCAAGCGAGCCGTCAGCGTCGAAGAAATGCCTGGAACATTCAACAAATGCAGCGTTAACAAGGTACTAGGATTTTTTAAGAAGATTGAAAAAGATACAAAAAATAATCGAGTTCTCAATACAAAGTCATCTAGTCACATCAGTACGATGGATATTTCCGCAACACTGAATGCGTTGGAATCAGTCATTGTGCAGAGGGATAGCCGAATGACGCCAGCAGCGGAGGAACCAGAAAAGGAAAGACCCAAGTCCGGAAGTTTTGTTAGTAAAATTCGTAAACCGTACAATGGGGCACGGAGCGATACTTTGCTCACTATGACCGAGCAAGAGTGTAAGTCCAATGGTACGGTGCCGGAAAAGCATAACGGTGGCTACCAAACGCATATTCCTGTTAAGTATTGTTGTCCGGATTGTAACAAAGAAGATGCTAACAACGATGTAACGAAGAGACATTCCTCCACTTTGACTGATGCAAAAAATCACTCGCAGGACGAGAAAGAACGCACCAGAACCAGTCGTCGAGCGCTGACACTGGACTTTAGCAAGCTCGGCGGAAGTCGCAATGTTCAGAACAATAACAACAATTACAGCTATCCACCTCCATTACCCAGTGACATTGTACCAAACAGCAACCACGTTTCCACTACAAACAACAACAACAACACTATGAATATGAACATGCTTACACCATCATACGACAGCATAACCAATTACTCTTCGGGTTCTAGAAGTAGTCCATACGACGATTGCAACTCTTCCAGCACATTCATGTCTCCATCAGAGGAACACGAACTGTACTTTGATAATTGGTCGATCTGCTCGGATGACCACAACAACATGCTTAGCGCTTCGCCATCCATTTCGCGACTGTCGAAGTTAACCTATGTGAACTCTGTCTCTCCGGTAGATAACGATTCCGAAAGTGTAATCGAACGGATACGTCGGAAGAGTTTCTACACCCGATTCAATGAGAAAAAGCCTAGAAGAGTTAGCTCTATCGTAGGACCAGGCAGTACGAAGGAGTACTATCGTGAACAGTCTCTTTCCAAAAGTGGCCCATCATCCACTCGGTTGAAAGAGTACGGTAAGTCATCATCTTCGTCGGTAGCAAGCGCTTTGACTAGTGTTGATCGTTCCAAGAACAACTACGATTACTACCGCTCGCTCACCAGGACGCCGAGTTCTATCAAGAGCAAGTATGCGGATTCTACCGACGGGTATTCAAAATCTTCGTTGAACAACAGTGACTACTTTCATCATCACCACCACCATCATCACTACCATCTTCCTTTGTCTAACTCGTCACGGAAACTTAATTTCTCCAGTAATGACTCTTCTGATAACCTAAATTATAACACTGTCGGTAAATCCTCATTAAGAAGTACATACTACGAAACCTCGTCACCACCGTATTATGCTACATACAACCCAAGACGGCGATCCTCGTTTACCAGCAATAGCACTACAGCTAATCTAACCTCGTCCTCTTCATCGATAGCACTAGATACTGCCAACACAGGAAATGAAGCGCGGGATGCTGCACCGAAGAACGCGGCGGCAACGGTGGCTGGAGTACCACCAAGTGGTACCACAACCAATTCCTCGTCTTCTACAACCCTTTCCGCATCGGAAGGCTTCTCCAGCCAGGGGAGCGGATCGCGCAAATTACGACCGTACGACAACCGGAGCATTTCGATGCTGAATTCCTCCTCCAGCAGAGAGTCACGCTACGGCGGTTATGACAGTGCGGGGATCATCAGGTAAGCATACGATTCGTGATGTTTAGCCATGGCATATTTATTGTTTTCACAAAGTTCTAAATAGCGCTTGCCAAACAAAACATCGATCCTAAGCTAATGCTGCTCACAGTATCACAAACCATATGATAATGTGTTGTCCGAAATGTATCCTGACTAGGACTAACTCTATCGAAACCCGACTCACCAGTGCATTGTTGGTAACAGCCAGTAGTTGATAATAGCATCCTTTTATATGACCATATACAAGAAACAATGAACACCTTTAAGTATCACATCCTCATCCAAACCATTCTGAACAAATCTGGCTAAGACCATATCTATCGAGCGGTTCTACAAACATTGATTACCGGTCAGTGCCTATGAAATTTCCACGAATTACTGCGATTATTATACAATTAATGAAAATTAATATGTTACTTTTAGATTACTTTTGCTACTTTTGATTACTGGGATCATTACAATTACTTGAATTAAATGAGGAATTACAATCGTGTTACTCAATTATTCGCTGATTTACAATCTCACAAATGAAAGACTGTATTGCAAAAATGGCATGACCAATAAAAACAATTAATATTTATCCTAGCGTCGAATTAAGAATAGATGTTCATAGCAAAACCTAAATTTCATTACATCGAGATTTGACTGTAGTTTTAATTTTGAACTAGAGAGAGTCTAGTATAAGAGAGCGCACTGGCTGATTTTTAACCCAACCGAACTGTCAAAGCAAGAGCCAATCGAGCAGCTCCTATCATGATTACATTGGCAGTTTTACTAGAAACCGCCTACGCATAGGTTGCCAAGGCAGATTGTTTTGAAACCTCTCCTATCTTATACTAGTCCCTCTCTATTTTGAACCATCTGTCAAATTATAATTCCTTATATAATCCAAGTAATCTTAATAATCCCAGTAATCAAAAGTAACAAAAGTAACGAAATAATTTTCATAATTATATAAAAAACCAAAGTTTTGTGATCATTTGATAGGCACTGACCGGTAATCAATGATGATGGAAGCCCCTAAAGAATACTCAAGTACGAACTATACATTTTCGGGCTTAAATATTCACGTAATTACTCGATAATAACTGTTAAATTACTTTCATGATTATCGGATTTTTTTCGAAACAGCATAAGTTACTGAAGCTACGCATAAATTATTACCCAGTAATTCCAAATAAAAGAATTATTTCGAAAACATGCAGTAATCTTTGATTACCGGTCAACTTCCAAGCTTTGTAGAAACCCCTTTTTCCTTCGGTTTCAATATACCATGAAATGCCACAATCTCGTGCACCTAAATGAATTTAAATAATTGAATGATTCCGCGCCTTTTTTAAATTCAAACCAAGCTTTTATTGAGGATATTTTGAATTAAGATATAAATTTAAATAGGTATTATGGGAAAATATAAATTTAGAAAATATTACAATATACTACAAATTGTTGAAATAACTGCGCGGAGATGAGCGACGCGTGAAATTATGGCACTTCATGGCATGTTTCATCGTAGATATATTCCGCAATGTATTGCTTGTAGATTGCGGACACATTCCACAAGGCCGTAATGAATGCTGAAAAGGAATATTCCATTCGGAATCTTATATATGGTCATATATACTGCCTGTTCTCAAGGGAATGAATACTGCTTTGCCTTAACTAATTTAAAGTCAAATATCTTCTTTCTTCAACCGACTGTTTGTCTCCAAACCAAAACAGTGAAAACCGCTTTAGCCCTGTTCGCTCCGTTGCATACCGGAACTACCTCCTTTGTCTGCAAATTGAGAGCAATTAACCACTCAAAAGTTGCTTATTCTCCTCAAATATGAAGCCTTATCTCTGCTTAATGACAAGGTAATGACGTACGAAAGCTACGATAACCCATTTACTAGTATCTCGTGAGTAAGCCTAATCTAAATTATTTTGCAGGCCCATGCAAGTTTTATCACGTTCTTAAAGATTCCACAGTCCATTGAATTATCCAACTAATCATGGTTTTTTGAAATCGTTACAGAAATGGTCGTCTCAGAAACTCGTCAATACCTCGGAACCCCACCAACGTATGATCGTCAGAGTACGATGACTGCGATATTTACTACAATTTCTAGCGATTGGCCATTTTCGCCCGATGAAAAGCAATTAATATATCTAGGTGTAAACAAATGTTTTAATTGAATTCATAGGAACTAGCATTTTAATGTTAAATTAGTCAAGTTACTTTCCAACGCCAAAGGTGAAAGCAGAACAATGAATGAAACCATCAAGCTTATGAGAGAGAGATGAACAAGACAGAACGGATTTTGTACATTTATTTTAGTTTTAATTGAACGAGAACGAAAACATTTTAGAACCCAAAGAATACTATTATGTCTGTACAGAGAAAAACATTATTTAGATCCCAATTTATTGAAGAAAACACAAACCGTTAGAAAAATAAAGTTTTAATCATGGTGGAACGTGTGGTTTACTGGTATTCTCAAAAAGAAACAGCCCTTTTACAACTTGCACATAAATGAACGAAAGCGATTGACGCCCTCACGTTATTCGATGGTCTCGTGGTGCATTATCAGAACGTGAAAGCTTCGGCTTACTCACCAGCCAACGGGGTGGCCTCAATTGTCTTTTACTACCTCCAAGGCGTGGACTTCGGGTGAACAAACAACAATTAAAAGAAAGAAACCAAGTTTAGGACGTTTATAATTATCTACAATGTCCTACGCGCTGTTCACTTCACAAGTGCTGGTGCTCGGTGGTGCCCTTGGAAGTAATGATGACGGCTCCAAGGCACAGTCTGTGCTGAGCTGATTTTTCACACTCGGTTCTTCTTTTTCGCACTAACACTTGTGGCCGAAGCAGCGTTCTTGATTGCTGAGAGGATTACACTGTTCTAATAAAATCAATATGGTTATTTTGCGTAACGACGTGTTCAGGGCATCATCCAAACCATTTGTGGAATCGTTCTATTATTTGGGTTATCACGACACGAATGTCACAGAAGTGATAAAGTGTCACTAATAAATAATAATAATAATAATAATAATAATAATTTGGGTTATCGTTCAGGTAAGGTTTTTTTTTATTAGGGTTGCTCCTCCTCCAAGTTCGTTCTCCTTAAAGATTATTTACGGGAGCCCGACAGGCTCTTTCGACTTAGCTCCCGTAGTGAGAACGGTGGGTGCCTATCGTATCTTTGACACTAATCAAAGTGAGCGAATAGATCAAATGGCGATCCGCATCCGATAACACTACACTTTTGTGCCCACAAAGTATTAATTAGTATTAGTAGCTAATGGGTATGAATAACTCGCTAATGGGTATTAATAACTCGTAAAGGCGTCCTACACACTTAGAAAAATTGATGTAAATTTAGGTGCTCTGAGACTGACATATACGAGCGTCAATTTTGACATAAAATTGAGTCATAATAGACGCGAAATTCAGCTCAATCAAACATATTTTCGAACTTTTCAGTCTCGGAGCACTTAATTTCGTCTCGTCCTTTATGTCAAATATGGATTCCGTCACGTGTAAGATTACGTAATTCTAAGTGTGTAGACGATTCCCGGGCTGGATTTTCTACCCACCGGACATTATTATATAACTGGTTGAGATTAAACACTGAGGACGTGTACTAGTTTGAATAGATTGGCTTTTTTCGGTAACGTTGTACAACGTCACCGTGAAAAGCCAATCTATTCAAATTAGTAAAAGTGTATAACATCGTAATTTTGATTCTCCTTCCTAAACTTTCAATGAGCTGTAACTTTTCAGGGTGCTCATCAAACTTTTTGAATTCTTGGATGCAGATTATTTAACTATTTCTTTTTCTAAAGCTCGTGGATATCGTAGTTGCTACTCCATTTCTGATCAGAACAAGTGGAATTGCACAGAGAACCACATAGATGGGCACTTGGGATTAGCTTATCCGTCTTCAATGTGCAAAAGTTTACTAATTCAAGCTATTTAAAGATCAGCACCGGTGCCGGCCACGTCAACGCGGTCTTTTGGGAAGGGGAAGGATGATTAGTATGACTACCGTTGTTATGAGTCTCTACGATTGCCTTTGGAAGGAAAATTGTGTTAGTGTGGGTCAGGTTATTTTTGACCTGGCTTCACTGTGGTAGGTAATGCGTTAGGGTACAGCAATATGTTTAATTTAAATCTAATGGGGATAGAGAATTAGGCATAGTGCCAAATATGAGGAAAGGGATGGGCTCAGTAAGCAGAAACGATAACCACTAAGCTACCGAGCCACGTCTGCAGATTAATTAACTATTGAAGACATACCGATGTGATTTTGGGTTTGAGTGGCTGAGTCTATATCAACTATGGAACTGAACGAAGTCTACCCAAAAGAGGTCGAGAAATATAAGACGGAGATAATCGACAGCGTGATCACCGAGCTAATGCTGGAATTCTAATAGCTTTGGCTGATTGGTTTTTCGGTTGTGTTTTTGTGATCAGATGTTATAAGTTCCATGCGCCGTGCGCGATAATCTAATATGATTCAACTATTTTGACGTAGGACTACGTCTGTGATTTCTATATGAGGGTACACTTTGTGGAAACCGAAAATGGAACATGTAACAAAATTATGAAAGATTTTGACCGTTAATAACTCAGCTGCCCCTGAACCAATTTCAGAAATATTTCTACGCAAATTTAAGACTTTTTCAATTTTTAAAATGTCACTATTGAAAGTTGCACGAATGTGCAACTGTTGCTATGATAGTTAAAATTAGCACCGATTGCCTGCGAAAAGCGGTTTCCCTAACACAGATTTTAAAGTTGAATTCCATCCGGTCCCACCAAACGGTTTTTATTCAATTACCGCGTGGTGAGTGGTGGTGTTCTCCAGTACACAACGAAAGGCCCCCTGCAAGCAGTGAGCTGTAGCCCACATGAGCATCCATAGAAGGAGGAAGAAGCTGCACCTCTATTGATCGAAATCAGTAGCTCTTCGTGAGTCGCTGTGGGCCATCTATGTCAAGCGCGTCATACTAAAGAGTATAAACAGAGAGAACCCCGCTCAAATTCCTATTCCAACACAAAACACAAGCTCCTGCTGCAATTAACAAATAAGATTTATCATATTAAACCACGTAGTCCTACGTCACTATTCCGTACAACCTCATAGGGCTGTACCTTGTAGTTTTTTGCAATAGTTTTGTTATTAAATTGTTGCTACAATGGTGCTTTGGGTGCTGCTCTCGCATTTTCTTTTGTTATGCGGTATGACCTCGATCGAACGTACGGTTGGCGCGATGAGCCAGGCTTTTGTGCACGTGAGAGTGGTGTGTTCGAAAAAAAATAGATAATGCAAACACGTTCGATCATGCAGTGTTTGAGCTTAGCTGAATGGAGTGAATGACCGGGATTTGTGATGATGGCACTTTTGGCCAAGCAAAAATTAAAACAATATGTAACACAAGTTAATCATGCCTAATTATCATGCGGATGTTAGAACTGGCTAGTTTGTTGGTGGTAATCGTGCGAAGCCGGGATCAGTGAACGTGGGGAATGTTTTTTAGGCTCGTCTGCTGTATGCAGAACATTTTATACATTTTATATCGGAGAGGTGGTGCAATTTGAATGCATAATTAAAACCGTGCGTTTGGACGTTTATTCTACATGCACCGTTAGATAACGTTCACTACTGATCACTCACCTTAGCAGAACCTACCAATCTATTTCCTGAGCTCAACTACCAACATCGAAGTCGTCCTGGCCCTGTGTTCAGTTCTGGAGTTGGGGGCTTCCAAACTGCCCTTTCAGGCAAGTATCTTTCTGATCATGTTTCATCTGACGAGAGCAATTTTCCTCCGGTAATGCTTGTCGCTTTTAGCTGTTCAACCTCAACCTCTTACGAATCGGTCACCCATGACGGGTGCAATACTGAAGCTATCGCCGAAAGCGTTCCTGTTCTCATGGATTCTACTCATCACTCTTGTATGAAGGGACGGATACCATCAGTGTTCATCGAGCCACCGGGATGCATGCCTGCAAGCTTCATGGAAGCCCAAAAACCCCTCGTCACAGTCGAGCCATTGTGGCCAGCGCCCTGCAGACATCCCGGTCCTGTGTACGACTGTGGAGAAGGGGTCTTCCAAACCGTCCTCGCAGGCAAGTATTCGCACAACGAGAACAATTTGCCTCCGGTAACGTCTGCCATTTCTAGTGGTTCACCGTCAATCCCATTCGATGCAGCCGCTCAGTGGTGTCACACAGAACCCTAGTAGCACGCTTGTCTCTAATCGGTTGTGGAAACTTCTATTCGACTTATTTCAGTCATAAACAAGTTGCTGCAACTTATTGTAGTGGAAGTGTGCTACTCGGGAGCCAATCAACGTAATCGTACCCAATCAGGGACATCTATTTCATCAGTGTTCGTTGAGTCACCGGGATGCATGCCTGCAAGCTTCATGGAAGCCCCAAAACCCCTCGTCACAGTCGAGCCATTGCGGCCAGCGCCCTACAGACATCCCGGTCCTGTGTATGAGTGCGGGGAAGGGGTCTTCCAAGCCGCCATCGCAGGCAAGTATGCACACGTTTCAAACAGTTTACTTCCCGTGACATTGGTCGATTCCAGTTGCTTCTTGTCAACGAATGTGGGCTTATCTGCCAACCAACGCACCACGGAGGCTCTCGGATCTACCTCACCAGTGAAGAGCCGTTCGAATGGCGTGTCATCTGACCGTTTGTTGTCGGTATACTATCAGAACGTTAGAGGCTTGCGTACCAAAATCTCCCGTCTTCGCTTGCTTTTATCGAGCTGTGATTACGATGTTCTCGTGTTCACTGAAGCTTGGCTCAGGTCTGATATCGACAGCGCAGAAATTTCGTCCGAGTATATCTTATTTCGATGCGACCGTAGCACATCGACCAGTATTCACTCACGGGGAGGCGGAGTGCTGATCGCGGTCAAAAGGCATATAGTCTGTGAACCTACTTCGCCGATAAATTGTGAGCAACTCGAACAAGTTTCAGTTCGTGTGAAATCTGGACGCCGCTCGCTCTACATCATTGCCATTTATCTTCCTCCCAATTCGTCCCTCGACCTGTATTACGCTCATGTGAACGCAATGCAGCTGTGATTCTGACACTAGGAGACTACAATCTTCCAAGTTTACGGTGGCAATCAGACGATGACGTGAACGGCTTTATCCCGTCAAACGTTTGCTCAGAAATAGAACGTTGCCTCACAGAAAATATGTTTGCCTCTGGTTTGCGTCAGGTCAACGATGTTGGGAATACTAATGGCAGACTCCTCGATCTTGTGTTTGTCAATCTACCGGAGTACTTTGACCTCATTGTACCCTCAACTCCACTTTTACCAATTGACGACCATCACGCACCATTTATCTTGCTTCTTGACGAAAGCTGTAATGGCACAATCACAACGGACGATGGGGATGTGAGATTCAACTTTAATTTTCAGTCGTGTGATTTCGGTCGT